CAGTGCGATTGGCACAGGACAGAGCGGAGTTTAGGGCTGTTGTACATAGGGTCGCTATGAGTCGCAGGCGACTCGACGGCACATAACAACAACATATGGATTTTAGAGACAAACCTGGCTTTATCCATCACTAAGTAACTGTCATTTTGGCCATGTTCCAAACCTCTCTGAACTTTATTTCCCCTCACTTATAAAATGGAGCACATACTCTTTCCCTCAAGGGATTCCTTTGAGGTTTGTATGATGGGACATATACAGTGCATAGCCCAGCGTTTGGCTTTTGGGAACTCCCCAATACTGTATATGGTAATTATTCTTAATATCTCTGATATTTTTAATAATACTCACTTTCAAGGAGTACTACAATTAAATTTGGCTGACTTAGATAATTATTCTACATTCGGAGGTAACTTGTGCTTTCTGAAGCTAAAGCAGACATTTGCCTATTGTTCCATTGGCATCTTATCTTTAGGGGGATGTGTGCTTGAGAAGATAACTTGCAGCTCAGATAATTGAGCTGAGAGTAAACTTCATTTGAAAGACATGCTACAACTGAAGACAAAGAAAAGCCCTGATTAGTTTTAGATGTGCCAGCCAGTGGGCCTTGACATGTTAATAGGCAGAATTTCTCTGTTAATACTCTTCATTTACCATCTTTTACCTCCTTGGGTTGTTGGCTCACCCCTTTTTGTTTATTATTTGTATTATGTAACTGGTTATGAAATGAAAGTAAGATAGTATATTGGTTATGTTACAAGTTTTCTTTTGAGGGCACAAACTTTTATGTTCTGTGTGTTTGGAAATCTACCCTTATTATGGAATTTCAGTGCATTTCTCCTTTTTTGGGGATTTCATTTCTTCAGTTTATTTATTTGAAGTATTGATGGAGTTGAATTAATAGTTTCTCAATTATATTTGTTGAAGTAAATGATTTTTTTTCAAGACTACATCTGAGTTTCTTATTTATGCTTTGTCAGAACACACTGCTGCAGCAGCTGGGAGTCGCTCCTTTTTCTGAGGGTCCGTGGCCCTTGTACATTCACCCTCAAAGCCTCTCTGTGCTCTCACGCCTTCTGCTCATCTGGCAACATAAGGCTGGCGCTCAAGGTGATCCTGATGTTCCTGAATGTCTTAAAGTTTGGGACAGGTAAGATCCCTTCAATGATGGTCGTACATAAAAGAATATTTAATTTTTTTCTTTTAAGTTTGACTCTACAGATAATCTGTGGCTTTGAAATACTGTTCTGATTCTTTTAAAAAAGAAGAGATTTGAGATGGTGTATTTCTGATTGGGAGAAGATGTAATGATTAAGAAACAGATATTTGTAAACTTTGAATAAGAAAAGACTCTTACTTTAGCACATAAGGAATTTGTTTGTAATTATTGGAGAGAACCTGAATCCTGGATACAACCAATTTTATTCTGACCTCAATTTTTGAAAAAAGGGAACAGAGAAGCCAACTCTGTGTTTGGTTATTTTGCTTTCCACATGAAACCACTTAAAGTGACTTGCAATGTTTTTTGGACACATTTTAAAGACTTTTTCTACTTGAGGGAAGCTTGAATTAATCATTTAAATCCTCTTTGGATGGACCTGTATTTGCCATTTTGTTTACATGGTTATGAGTCTTCAAAGCAGTTTGTTTTTCTAAAAGGCTTTTCTTTTCTAGTCTCCATTCTGGGATCAAATAGCTCTAATGCTGGATTTGAGAAATCATAAAGCTCCTTGAATGCCAAAGACTCACAATATTTTTCCTGTTAAAATTTTGCAAACAGACCAGGAGGTGGGGGTGGGGTGGAGACCCTTATTAAAACACAAATCTCTTCCCTAATGGCTCCAGGCAGTGGAAATAGATATACTTAATTCACTTTGCAAGAAAGCTCTTCTGACAACTTTGCAGAATAGTGTAATTTCTGTACTGTTTTATGGCCTCAGAGTTACTTTTAGCTAATGTCATGGAATGACCTTAACCTGTAGTTATAAACTTTCAAACTGGGAATAAATATAGAATTAAAGTACAAGGTAAAGTAATTGAATTGGCTTTACTTTCCCAGATTAAGTTTTAGGTATTTACAAGTCTTTATTTTGGCACAAATGCCAGGATGGGTGTTAACTTTGTTGTGGCCACAGTTGAGAAAGTTGAAGAGTTCTGGGAAACATTTTTAGTCCTTTCTAACTTTTATCATTATTATTAATTTTAATAAAAATTTACAGAGACTTTGGATTTCCATTCCTTCATTGTTGCACTTTTCTCCCTCCTCGCCCATTTGTTCTTCTCTTTGAAAAGTAAAAGAAAAATTCTTTCGTTGCTATACAATCCCTCCCCCCAGGCCCACCCCTCTATGCAGCCTTTGTTCTGGACTCCTGTCATGACAGTAATACCTAATCATACATCCCTTTTAGACAGTTCTTTCCCTCATCTGTTTCAGTGCAGTATACATTGTTTGTCCCATCTTTCTCAGTCTCCCCCCAACCCTGAGGTCTGTCCTGTTTTACAACAGTGGCACCATGCAGTATTTGTCCTTTTGTGACTGAGATACTTCACTTAGCATCATGTCCTCCAGGGTCACCCATTTTGAATAATATTGCATTGAGTTCCTTGTTTTTCAATGCAGCGTAGTATTCCATTGTGTGACCATACCACAACTTTTCTGTCCGTTCGTTTGTTGATGGGCACTTAACAACTCTTTGCTATTGTGAACAAAGCTGCAATAAACATGGATGTGCATATATCTGCTTGGGTAGCAGTTACGGTTTCTTTGGAGTATATTCCCAGTAGTGGAATTTCTGGGTCAATTGGTATTTCTCTTTGCAACTTTTTGAGAAAACACCATACAGTCTTCCATAGTGGTTGCACCATTTTACACTCCCACCAGCAATGAATAAGTGTTCCAGTTTCTCCACAACCTTGTCAGCATTTGTTGTTTGCTGTTCTATTAAATTTTACATTTCTTATTGGAGTGAGATGATACCTCATAGGTGTTTTTCTAACTTTTTTTGTAGCTAAGATACAGTTTTCATTCTCTTTTTATCATGTAACTTTTGTCCTTCCTTAATTAGCTATCTTAATTTAGGATTTAAAAGATACAACTATTTCAGCGGGGCATTTTAACTGTTGCATGATGTTCTGACTTTTCCCATTGTCAGTACATACTCTCTTTTTCTCTATGGTAGGTTTTTGTCTACAATGAAGCAGAATGCCTTGCAAGGAGTGGTGCCTAGTGAGACAGAAGATTTGAACATAGAGCATCTGCAGCTACTCCTTCTCATTTTCCACAACTTCACTGAGAAAGGCCGACGGGCCATTCTGACGCTGTTTGTCCAGATCATCCAGGAACTGAGTGTCAACATGGAGGCCCAGATGCGCTCTGTGCCTCTCATCCTGGCTCGCCTTCTCTTAATCTTTGATTATCTGCTTCATCAGTACTCCAAAGCTCCAGTGTATCTGTTTGAACAGGTACAGACCAGTGTATTCTTTCTTTTAACTGTCAGTGAGAGGAGCATTTTTCAAGAGCTGCCACCATGACCCAAAGCCAAACTGATCTCAGTTTAGATTTCAGATGTTTGTTGTGGGAGGTTTATAAGTACAATTTAGGAAGACTACTGGGCTTATAAATGTGTGCTTGTGCTTTATATTCAGTTAGAAGGGATAAATATAGATTATCTGATTGAATATGTTTGTTAAAATTGGATTCTAAAACTTTACTTAGACCCTCCATCACAGATATTATCTTTGACCCATCCCACTTTACCTGTGTCTAGCACAGTGCCCTGAACACCTGCATTTGGCGACCATTTATTGAACAGTAAACTTTGTGAACAGATAAATTCTTCTGTTAAGGATACAAATGAGAATGGGAAAGCCACTTAAAGGTTACATGATTCGCTTCCTAATATAAGCCACCAGAAGATCTCTTGAAATTTTATTTTAGTTTGCTGAATTTCCCAGTCTCTAATACATGAATTAGAAGTATGTCTGGAGTGAAAAGTAAAATGTTGACTGTTTGTCTTTCTTAATTTATGTATTTATGTTTTAAAAGGTACAACATAATCTGCTAAGCCCTCCCTTTGGGTGGGCAAGTGGATCCCAGGACAGCAATAGTCGCCGGACAACCACTCCCCTTTATCATGGATTCAAAGAAGTAGAAGAAAACTGGTCTAAACATTTCTCATCAGGTCAGTAAAAGATAATAATAAATATATGTCCATGATATCTTTAACCACTGTGGTACCGTATCCATCTATTCACAAACAGATTCAAAACTTGTTCCCACGTGCTCTATATTTATTATTTTAAAAAAAGAAAAGGACAGGCAGCTCTGGTAGCCTAGTGGTAAGAAGAAGCTGTACTGCAATCACAGAGGTACATGGTTCGAATCCACCAGGTGCTCTGTTGGAGATGGAGGAGTAGTCTCCTCTCGTACCAATTTGACTTGATTCAATTTGACTGCACACACACAAAATAATAAAATTAAAAAAATAAAAAGGAAAGGAAAGGAAACAAAAGGCCTTGAGATCCAGTTTATGCCATAGGGTCTGATATGTGGATTCTTGTCATTCTGCAATTAAACTTTTCTCCATTTTACTTAGAGACATAGATTTGACCTTCTGACTAAATTTTTTTGAGGGTCTTGCTTGCATGTAAACCACTCTGAAAATAATACCATGCCATTCTTTCTAAGTATCTCTTGTACTTTTTGTTCATTTTTTCTCATCCTAAGAATTGTACTCAATCTCTATCCCAAAGACTTTTGAAGGCTATAATTTTTTCCCCCCTAAGATTTTATATTCTCCCCCCAACCATATAATATCTAAATGTTGTCTTAACTGGAGGGTCTATAAACGCAAGTCTATATAGTATACTTTCATGCAAGGCAAATGTCGGCTTCTTGAAATGGTTAAACCATGAACCCTCTAACCATCCAATCCCAGTTGCTACCTTGCCTGGCTTTATCTTCACTATATTATGCAGCCACATAATTCAGTCTCATTCCAGATTTTAACTTTTCCTTGACTTCCATAATTCTGCCATATTTTCCACGCAGAATGTGTATGTGTCTGACCATTATTGTATTGCCAAATCTTTGGGACCCTGAGTCTTGTTAGTCCCAGAGACTGCTTCCCCTTTTCTGGCCTTTCTGGTACTGCCTTTTCCTTTGGGCAGCATCTTTGAAACTTTCCTTGAATTCTCAGCTGCTTCCATAACCTGACAAAGGCCCTTTGTGTCTTGTAAACATAATCTAGAGTGCCTGAAGGCAGTTGCTGGTTCTTGAAGGCTGTGATATTTATTTATTTATTTTTGAAGGCTATCATTCTGTACAGGAGCAGACTGTTTCATTTTTGTCCCATGGAGTGACTGGTGTGTTCAAATTACCTATCTTTTAGTCAGCAGACCAACCCCTAACGCACTGTACACAGCTGTTAGACAATATTTTTGAAGAAACTTTCATAGTATTTTTAGTATAACATCATCATGGTGATCGCTTCTTTATTAGTTAACCTCTTTGATACAATAAAATTTGAATTTAATACAGTCTAATTTTATAGTATCACTGAGTTTTTCTTGACAGCACTTACAGTTTTATTATTAGAGAACTCTAGGGTATAAGGAGATTCACTGTAACCCATGGCTTGGCTTCTTTGGAGGTTGGAATCCATCACCTGTTGCTCTATAGGAGAAAGATGGACAGTCTCCTCCTGTGTGATTTACAGTCTTTGAAACTCACTGGAGGGTTAGCTATGTCTCAGTTCTGACCTGATAGCCAGGAGAGAGAAATAATCTCACTATTAGTAATTTTATTTTTTAACTTAATAATTATTGAGCTATTGGCATCTAGTGATTGGAAGCCAGGGATGCCTATAGTGCATGCGCAAGATTTCTCTTACCATAGAGTTACATGGCTCAAATATCATTAGTGCCAAAGTTGAGAAACATTGGTCTAAAATACTTTCTGAATTTTTTTAAAAAGTTTAACTTTTTAAATTGTGTTCCATATGCTCCTTCATTTACATTTTAGTATTTTCTAAATTCTTACATTTCAATTTCTTTAAAAGTTGAGAATGACACCATTTTTAAAAAAGAAATACCTTGCTTTTCAGATGCTGTGCCTCAGCCTAGATTCTACTGTGTCCTGTCTCCAGAGGCCTCAGAGGATGATTTGAATCGCCTTGATTCTGTGGTACTAGGAATTTTAATGACTCTGACATTTCCCCATTATATGACTCTGTTGGGAGAAAGAGATTGACTTACATTTTATATGAAGGGATTAAGGTTTCATTTTGAATTTGAGCTTATTCTAAAAGGAAAAGATAAATTTGAGATCTATTTACTGGGCCCACTTTTGCTGTGGCAGAGAACTTTCTGGGTTGGTAGTTGATACTTCTGACACATTTTTCCTGAAAACTCAGCATTTTTCACATACACAAATATTTTAAAGGAAAAATTATCTTACTTTCTCATTCTTCAGCTTACAATTATATGCTTTCAGTAACCTGCTTACAGAGTAAGGTTGCTGAGCAGGAATCTGTCACCATTAGAAATGAATGGCTATTATTTGATGAGATATTTTGTCAGTTATGAGTTTATGTATTAGTGCCTGGGAAGTAGAAAAAGATATTTAAAAAAAAAATAAAAAAAATAACAAGGAACATCTGTCTTTCTTGGTGTTAGGCATGTGATGTTCTTTTCTCCAAACTTGTGAAGTATGATGAACTTTACACTGCATTGACATCCCTGCTTGCAGCTGGATCCCATCTTGATACTGTCAGGAGAAAGGAAAACAAAACTGTAACAGCTTTGGTAAGACCATGAGAGGCTGCCTTCATTAAATCAGTTGTGAAGAAGCTGTGCTGTGATTCTTAATTGAGTAATAGTTCTCCTACCCCAAACTTTCTTCTGGGATATAATTAATTTGTTAAGTGTGATAGTTTTATCATATTTGTATTTTTTGTTAGCATTGGGAGAATGGTGGTTTGGTTAGTTAATCATCTTAAGTGCCGTAGTTCTTGTGAATGTCAGTCGATAGATTATATTAAAAGCCTCATACTTGAACTTTTTCTGTGATCCTGTGAATCTTAATCTGTTCTGGTAGCTTCGTGGTAAGAAATTGCAGTGCCAACACAAAAGTATACAGTTTGAATCCACCAGTTGCTCCATGGGTGAAAGATGGGTAGTCTCTTCTATGCAGTTTACTGCCTCTGAAAACCCACTATGGGTCAGTTCCCACTATGGAGTACATTACCACTACCACCAGCACCACTACCTCACAACTTCTCACAACCAAACCAGCGATTCCAGGCCACAGAAGAGACAAACTTGTAGGTCTGCTGTAGAGAATGTCCTGCTCTCTTTTCATTCTTGGTAAATTGTTAGGGAGCCAAAGTTGTCTTAGAATATAGTTTTGGTTTACTAAGAAATTATTTAGATGTACATTTCACAGTTTTCTTCTTTATGAGCATTTGTAAGAAGATTTGCTCTAGAAAGGTCTAGGGAGCTCATTTAAGAGAGGCAAGTTAGAACTCTTTACAATTCTGTTTATAAACTCTATTTGTAACAGTTACTTCTGTTATGTCAATGCCAAATACTAACCCTAGGCTTTATTTTTGCTTCCTCTAGGAGGCCTGTGCCTTGCAATATTACTTTTTGATACTGTGGAGAATCTTGGGAATTTTGCCGCCGTCAAAGGCTTATATGAACCAGCTGGCCATGAACACACCTGAGATGAGTGAGTGTGACATCCTGCACACTCTGCGATGGTCTTCTCGCCTCCGTATCAGCACATATGTCAATTGGATAAAGGTACTGCAGTGCAACACAGAGGTTGTTCCTAAGAGTATTCAGAGTCAATGTTGCTCTGTGCCTGGGAACTATTTAAGGTTAGTTTAAGTTTTAAATTCTTATATATCACTCGCCTAACCATTTTTTTTTAATTGCTGTCCAAATAGGAGCGCCTTGTCAAACAGGGAATGAAGACTGAGCATGCTGGTTCTCTCATAGAACTGGCATCCACAAAGTGCAGCTCAGTGAAATATGATGTTGAAATGGTAGAAGAATACTTTGCTCGCCAGGTATGTTATCATTAGAACTATAATGATAAAACTTGACTACTACCATAACTTTTGCCATACTAATAACTATCTTGAATATTTTTGAAGATCTCCTCATTCTGCAGCATTGACTGTACCACCATCTTACAACTTCATGAGATTCCTAGTCTGCAGTCTATCTACACCCTTGATGCTGCTATCTCAAAAGTCCAGGTTTCATTGGATGAGCACTTTTCGAAGATGGCTGCAGAAACAGATCCTCATAAGTCATCAGAGATCACCAAGAACCTCCTTCCAGCCACATTACAGCTCATTGACACCTATGCATCCTTTACTAGGTATGATGAACTGCCTGCCCAGAGAGGGTGGAATTTAGATGAGTAGGTGGTTTACCTTCATTTCTTTAAACGGAATTCTGCAGTTGTGTGTAGTATGCACTCTGTACACGCTCCAATGACTCAGAAATTTTTCTCTTTTTCTCAGCTTAGATATTTTTCTCTTGGATATGCTTTTATTATTATTATTAATTTTGATGAAAATTTACAGAGATTTTGGATTTCTATTCATTCATTGTTGTACTTTTCTCCCTGCCCACCCCTCCCCTCCAGTTTGTTCTTCTCTTTGGAAAGTAAAAGAAAAATTCTTTCATTTTTACACAATCCCTCCCCCCAAGTCCACTCCACTGTGCAGCCTTTGTTTTGGACTTCTGTCACGACAATAATACCTAAATCATATATACCTTTTAAACAGTTTTCTCCATCATCTGTTTCAATGCAGTATACATAATTTATCCCATCTTTCTCAGTCCCCCCCCCCATATCAGTCCCGTTTTACAATAGTGGCACTATGAAGTATTTGTCCTTTTGTGACTGATAATTTCAGTCAATATAATGTCCTCCAGGTCATCCATTTTGAATAATATTGCATGAGTTCCTTGTTTTTCAGTGTAGCGTAATATTCCGTTGTGTGAATATACTAGAGCTTCTCTGTCCATTTGTTTGTTGATGAGCACTTAGGTTGTTTCCATTTCTTTACTATTGTGAACAAAGCTGTGATAAACATGGATGTTCATATATCTGCTTGGGTGGAAGTTATCGTTTCTTTGGGGTAAATTCCCAGTAGTGGAATTGCTGAGTCAAATGGTATTTATATTTGCAACTTTTTATTAAGAAAGCCCCATACAGCCTTCCATAGTGGCTGCACCATATTACACTCCCATCAGCAGTGAATAAGGGTTCCAGTTTCTCCACAACCTCGCCAGTGTTTGTTGCTTGCTGTTCTGTTAAATTTTGCTATTCTTACTGGAGTGAGATGATATCTCATAGTTGTGTTGGTTTACATTTCTCTTAGAGCTAGAGATTTTGAACATTTCTTCATGTGTTTGTTAGCCATCTGAATGTCTTTGGTGAAATGTCTGTTCATATCCTCGCCCATTTTCCCATTGGGTTGTTTATCTTGTGGTGCTATACTTTTATAAAATAAATCTGATGAGAGTATTTTCAGATAGTTAAGGAGGAACCAAGAGGAATTTTAATTTACATACATATTTATTTGTAGGATATAAAGATAGTATAATTTTTCAAAGTGTTGTCATCTCTGTTAACTGACCTAAAGTTAAACATAACTCTAGTAGCCCTCCTTTGTTTTTATAAGGCTATAAATCAAAAGATGGGGAGTTGACTGTGTCCATCTTTCTTCTTTGGAGTTGCTGGTGGATTTGAACCGCAGCCGTTGGATAAACAGTGCAAACTTCCTATGAACTAGGACACCAAACCTCCCTTTTTAGTCTTTAGTGTAAATGCCCTATAGTAGAGATGGGACTGTTGCCTGAGGAAAAGTTTGAATAAATATGAAGAGCAAACACAAATAATAAATATGCCTGTTGTGTGCCAGATTTTTTGCTAGGTGCTGGTAGATAGCAGTTAGCTAAATAGAATAAGTCTCTGCATTCTGGAAGAGTCTATTCTGAAATAGTGATTAAAAAATGGTTTTTAAAGTTTTTTTTAATAGTGAAGTACAGCTTACTTTGGCTTACTAGACCCAGTATTGCAGATGTTTCTCAGCAAGCAAATTTGTGATCTGGTAGGTAAATAAACAGGTTTTTATTTGTTTATTTTAGACTAAAATAATGTTTTAGAACCTTTACTATATGTGCATTGCTGTCTTCTAGGGAGGAAGAGTTGGTGGCAAGGAAAGAGGATATATAATGTTCACTGTTTCCAAACTCATTTTTGATTGAATCATGGTTTGAGAGCTTAGAGCCTTGGGAAGCAGTTACTTGTTGGAATTCTTAGGATGCAGATAAAAACAGGTTGCTAGCAACTATGTTGAAGAGATTAGGAAGCTGAGATACAGACTTATTGAATTGGCTAGGGTTAGCATTTTCTAGTTTTTTTTATATTCTCCCTGTTTTAATTTCAGAGCCTATTTGCTACAGAATTTTAATGAAGAGGGCACTGCTGAAAAACCTTCTAAGGAGAAACTGCAAGGCTTTGCTGCTGTTTTGGCTATTGGCTCTAGTAGATGCAAAGCTAACACACTGGGTGAGTGATCATTCTTTTGAATACAAGTAGTACTACTTCTCTCCCTCTCTACCTACTTACCACTTACTGGAACTTTTTTGTATGCCAGACATTTAAAATAGATATATTTGTTTTGATGCTCAACAATAACCCTGAAATTTAAGTGTTAGTATTATCCTCCCTTTTCACTGATGAGGACAGTGTGATTTTGGGAGGATACTTGCATAAAATCTTAAAACTCATGTTGGAGCTGGGAACTGAGTCAGTTTCATTTGACTCCGAAGAATTAGGCTATTCTGCTGTTAGCACAGATGCACTCCTTTTCATTTGTAGAGATTATAAAGACTAGCAAGCTGTCACTTTGTTCTCGGAAATGTGTCTTTCCTGAGTTATGAATGATCTAGTAGAAATTTAGCATCTGGAACCATAAGACTTGTTGGCACAGACCTGGAGATAAATTCAGTAGTTATGTGATAGCCATTTGTAATGTAGTGAGTTTCAAGCTTCAAATACCATCTTAATGTATGATCTCACTTAAAACATTTTTTTTTATTTTAAAAAAATTTTTATTTTTATTTATTTCATTTTATTTTATTATTATTATTTGTGTGTGTGTGTGCGCGCGCATGTACCATCAAATCAGATCTGACTGGTACAGGAGGAAATTGTCCCTCCTTCTCCGGCAGAGCATCTGGTGGATTCGAACCATGTACCTTTGGGATTGCAGTACAGCTTCTTGCCACTAGGCCACCAGAGCTCCCCTTTATTTATTTTTTTTTAATTTCAGTGGACACCTAGAGACCTTGGAATTCCATTCATTCATTGTTGCACTTTCTCCCCGCTCACCCCACCTCCACCCCCCCACTTTTAAAAATTTAATGCCAGTCCTACTATGTACATTGTACTTAATGTACATTAATTAGCCTTGTCATCAATATTTTTAAGAAAACAGATTCTTAGAAGAAAAGCAGATGCCCAGTGGCAGTTTTAGGCTGATATATAAATACTTGCCCTCATTTTGTAACTTATTTTCACATGTCCTCTTTCCTTGTGAGATTAGAAACTGATGGGATAGAAAATTAAACTAGTACAAAAGATGTTGTTAGCAGTTAGCTAGTTTGCGGTAGTCATAATCCTCCTATGAAATATTCATCTGAGCTGTCTTATTATTTAATCAGCATGGGCTGTATTTTCTTTGGCATTTGGGTTTCATTTTTAATATGCTGTGTGTTACTCCTTTTCATTTGCTCATTTGTATTGATTCTTTGTTGTCTTGATTCCTTTTAGGTACCGCACTGGTTCAGAATTTACCATCATCAGTGCAGGCTGTGTGTGAGTCCTGGAATAATATCAATACCAATGAATTTCCCAACATTGGATCCTGGGTAAGTCTGTGATTAGTCCAAGATTAGATTGCTGAGCATTAGCTATTCTGTGTTCTGTTTTCATTCTCTAGGCTTAAACTTGCTAACAAGGTGCTCTAGTGGCACAATGGTTAAGCTTATGACTGTTAACCAAAAGATTGGTGGTTCAGAGTTACCAGTGACTCTAGGAGATGAGAAAAGATTTGCATTTAGGAAAAACCTTATGAATCAGTTCTACTCCATCATGTGCTCTGGTTGATGTCTTCAAGTCAAACTTAACCTATTTAGAAGAGAACGAAACACAGCCAAATCCTGTGCCATCTTCTGTATTGCTGTTGTGCTAGTACTCATTGAAGCCATTGTCAGCCCATCTCATTTAGGGTTTTCCTCTTTTTTGCTAACCTCAGCTTTACTAAGCATAATGTTTTTCTCCAGGAACTGGCTTATCTTCATAACATACCCAAACTATGTGAGAGAAAAAAAGTATCTCACAGTTCTTGCTTCTCAGGCATTCTCGCTGCATTTCCTCCAAGACAGATTTATTGTTCTTTAAGCAGTGTATGTCATACTCAGTATTTTTTGCAACAGTTCTGGCATCACAATTCAATGACAATGGTTCTTTGATCTTTCTTATTAATTATCCAACTTTCACATGCATACAAGATGATTGAAAATACCATGGCTTATGTTCTAGAATACCATACAGCCACTCTAATTTGGAGTAGCTTACTGGCATAGGATATCAACAATAACAGATGACCTATCTAAAGATCTTCACATGCTACTATTAATATTTACAGTGGTTGAATTGTTGTGCTGTATTTCTTAGTGCCTATATGGTCATTTTGCCAAGAAATCTCATCCTCAGTTTCTTCATATTTTAAGTACTTGACATATTTAAGATGAGATAATATGCAAAATACCTAAAGCATCATCTGACACATGAATTCTCAAAGATTAACTCCCTTTTCTTTCTCTTGTAAGTTAACTGTCATTTTTTGGATGGCTTTTAGGTTCTTGTAAGCTTTCATAGATACTATTGACTGTTCTGCCACTTTATTTGATCTTTGTGAGAGCTATTCTCAGATTAACAAATGATTGTGTTATTAATGTTTGCAATTGTAATCTTGCTTTCTTTCCTTTGTTATTGTTACCTTGGTTTGCACAATACAGAGCTATATAGTACAAGAACAATTATGGTACAAGTAATAGAGATCTTCATGTACTATAAAATTTGCATCCTTCTGAATTATTAGAGACACACACTAGTTTTACTAAGAAATATTTTACATTATAGTCTAATTATTTAAAAAGTACCAGAGGCAACTACAATCCCAGAGGCTCACAGTTTGAATCCACCAGATGCTCTGCCGGGGAAGGAGGGACAATCTCCTCCTGTACCAGTCAGATCTGATTTAACGGTACACTCACACACAAAAATTTAAAAAAAAAAAAAAAGTAATATAGGCAGTTTTTGTGTTTGTTAACTGTGTTAACTAAAATTTGTTGATGTCTTCCTTCTTCCTAGTTCACATTTCTCAAGATGAGTACTAATGTATACTTAAGCTATTGCTTGTAAACCTCTCATAGGGGCTTGGTTTATGTTAGATTTTTTTTTCCCTCCCACATTAAGAATTTTTATCCAGGATTGATGGGCTATTCATTCACATCTTTTTTTTTCTCCTTTAGCGCAATGCCTTTGCCAATGACACTATCCCTTCAGAAAGTTACATCAGTGCTGTGCAAGCCGCTCATCTGGGCACTCTTTGTGGCCAAAGTCTGCCTTTGGCTGCTTCCTTGAAACACACCCTTCTCTCATTGGTTCGATTAACTGGAGATCTTATTGTGTGAGTACCCAGCACATCACTTCAAATACTGTCTACAGCTACTATTCTGCTAAAGATTTTCACAATTGTTTAATAATACTTTCCTTCAGTGTTTATCTAGCAAAGAGAACCTGTTGTTTTTAGAGTAGGAATGTGTTTACTTAGAATGATTTTAACCTAAATCTGAAGAGCAAAAGAAGTACCACCTCCTGTCTGTGTAGTATTTTTTTTAAAAAAAAAATCATTCTAGGTTTAAGTAATATCATGATTTGGAGGTGCCTTAAGTTAATGTTTTAGGGTAATAGTGACAGATTTAGTTCAAATAATATTTCTTCAGAATCACTGCCAGAGTTACCGTCTGCCATTGTGGGGACCAGGGCTTCAGGAAAGTCAGGAACAAAATTAAAAATCACATTGTTTTAAAAATGTTCCAGAATTCTATCAGTTCTTCTAGAAAGATTGTCCAGAACGGATTACTTGCTTAGATTCCAGCTAACTTTTTGGAAAAGTATAAAATTCCTTTTATATCATTAATTTAGCACTTTAATAAATGTGATGTTTTTTGTATGGAAATTTTGCTTTTGATATAATGAGAAAAAAAATAATAAGAAATTGTATGATTATACCTATGTAGAAAACAGCTACGTTTAGGTACAAGAGACTGGAATAGAAGCCTTCCCTCCGATGAATCATTGAATTGCCCTGTTCCTGCCTTGTAGTTTTGTGGAAAAGCATATTCATTAACTTAGTTCCCTTTTTCTTTGTTAAAGTTGGTCTGATGAGATGAACCCACCACAGGTAATTCGGACCTTGTTACCCCTTCTTTTGGAGTCAAGCACTGAGAGTGTTGCTGAGATCAGTAGCAACTCCCTGGAACGCATCTTGGGCCCTGCGGAGTCTGACGAGTTCTTGGCTCGAGTTTATGAGAAGTTGATTACTGGTTGTTACAACATTTTGGCCAATCATGCAGATCCCAACAGGTGAGCCTGACTGAGAAAAACAAATTCTGTGATCTATTGCTGCTGTCAATGAATAGTGACTATGAGGGCGTTTCTTAATTCTTTTGATGAATAGCTTGTTTTATTGTCATTGCTCTTTTTAAGAGAAAATTTGTGCTTGTGTACATTTTACATTCACTTTTAGGTGGATGAAAAGTTACTTGGAATCTTCTTTTGTGACCATTCTTAGGAATAAATGTTAGGAAAATGAAGCCTTAAATTGCAGATTTCAGTAATTCAGTAAATTACTACCAAATGTACTATACTAATACTTTTTTAACTTTCAAATATGACTATATTTTTAAGTTTGTGGTCCTTGTAATCAAAGGATCCCAAGGCATTATTATTATGATGTAGTCCTAGTGGTATAGTTTGCTGCAAGTTGCATTTCTAACCCAAAGACTGTGCTTCTTTGGCTCAGTGGTTCCAAGAGAGGAAGATGAATAATTGCTTTCTGTGCAGTTTACAGTGATGAAAATCCAATGGAAGATCACCTGTGAATCAGAACTGCCTCATTGGCAGTGGATCTTGAGTTTGTTTTTAAAGCATTGTTTGACCTTGATGCTTTAAACCAAATGAATGTAGAAATGCCCAAAGGCTTTATCCTCAGCTTTCAAGCAAATCACAAACACCCACCAGGGTCCAACTTGGCCAAAGTAAAGGCTCACTCACAGGGAGGAACAGACTGAATTTTAAATACAAAGGCCCGTCCACCAGATCCTGTTTGCCTACATGAGAGGCTCCCACCCAAGCGGATTGTAAACAAGGTCAGATACAGTTAGTCAGCTTACACTTGATTTGATTGCTAACACAATTAGAAATGCCCAATCGGTTTATCCCCAGCTTTCAATCAAATCACAAACACCCACCAGGATCCAACTTTGCCAAGGTAAAGGCTCACTCACAGAGAGGACCAAACTGAATTTTAAATACAAAGGAGCGCCTACCAGATACCTGGATCAGGGAGCTGTTGTGCAAATGGAGCAGGGAAGCACTGCATGGTTTGAAATTGGGAAAGGAGTGTGTCAGGGTTGTATTCTGTCTCCATACCTTATATGTATATATATATATGTGTATGTTTATATGTATATATGTATATGCTGAGCAAATTATCCGAGAAGCTGGACTCTGTGAAGAGGAATGTGGCATCAGGATTGGAGGGAGACTCATCAGTAATCTGTGTTATGCAGATAACACAACGTTGCTTGCTGTAAGTGAGAAGGACTTGAAGCACATGTTTCAGAAGGTCAAAGAATGTAGCCTTCAGTAGGGATTGTATCTCAGTATCAAGAAAACAAAGATTCTTACCACTGGACCAATAGACAGTGTCATGATGGATGGAGAGGAGATTGAAACAGTCAGTAGCTTCCTCTTGCTTGGATCCACGATTAACACCCTTGGTATGAACAGTCAGGAAATAAGGAGAAGCATTGCAGTAGGAAAATCTGTAGTTAGGGACCTTTCCAAATTATTAAGGAGCAGTGATGTCATTTTGAGGACTAACGTGCATCTGATTCAGGTCATGGTCTTTCCGATTGTTAGCTATGCATCTGAGACCTGGACAGTGAATAAGGATGACAGAAAAAGAATCGATGCTTTGAGTTGTTGGAGAAGAGCACTGAACATCCCATGGATGGCCAAGAGAACAAACATATGTCTTGGAGAGGGTGCTGGCAGAGTGCTATTTGGAGGGAAGAATGATGAGCCTTCACTGACTTTGGACATATTGCTAGGAGGTGATATTCCTTGGAGAGGGACATGATGCTGGGAATAGTGGAGGGTCAGCGAAGGAGAGGAAGATCTTCAACTAGGTGGATTGACACGATGACTGCTGCTGTGAGTTCTTTTGTCAGGTAGTGTGAGGATAGGTCTGGGTTCAGATATTTTGTTATAGGGTCACAGTGAGTCGTGCTTGACTCGACAGCACCTAACAACAACAACAAATGTAGAAAAGCCATGGAGAATGATTGAGTAAGCTGCAGCTTTATGTCACTGAAAACTGTACGAATAAAGGGGCCAAGTGTTAGGATTCTTGGTTTCTTGGTTGTTGAGGAGTTCAGCTTTTCATCAAGGAACTTTTTTTCCTTCTCTTCCTGTCCCTTGGTCTCCAAAAAGATAAGAATTTGGGAAAGTTTAATGATGTACAAATGATTTGTTCAAAAGGTACTCCCCCCCCCCCCAAGGAATCAAGATTAGAATTCTGAATATCAAGAGTTTTTGCTCCTTAATTTCCTAGGAGAGAAGGCAGTAAAATAAACTTGAAGTATTGCTTGCTGTTAATTAGAAAAAGTCTGAAATACCAGTGATCCTCTGAACTCTCAGCCATCAATTATTTCAGATTTTGGGAATTTATTAAACATTTCACTCTTACTATGTGCCAGGTTATATACTAACCACCAGTGATAAAAAATTGGATAGTCCCCTCAGTGTTTAGTCGTAAACAAATTTTATGTTTTAAAAATAGTACTAGGAAGATATTGAACAAAATCTTGTTTGTGGTATTTAGTTTTTCCTTTTGATCTTTAGTGGACTGGATGAATCTATCTTGGAAGAATGTCTCCAGTATTTGGAAAAGCAACTAGAAAACAGCCAGGCTCGTAAAGCAATGGAAGAATTTTTCTCTGAAAGGTGAGTTTTATTTTATTCATTGGACATATTTTAAATGCACCATAAAAGTAAGTGGCTGGAAACAACTCCAATGTTCATGAATGGATTAAAAAAAATATTGTAGCAAACTTCATATACAAACTATCATATTATCTAAACATAGATAAACCTAGAAAATATGCTAAGTGAAATAGTGGAGACTCGTGTTGGAATAACTGTATGAGTCCACTTAAATAACTAGACTAGGAAATGTGTAGAGACTAGTTTATCGGGGCTGGAAGGAGGATAAGAGAGATGAAAATGGGGGATTAATGTAAGGTTACTAGGTTTCTGTTTGGGATGATAAAGATTTTTGGAAATGGATAGTGGTGATAGTTACATGGCTTGATGAATGTGATTATTGTAACTGAATTTAAACTTAGCAGTGGAAGAAAGTCAGTTTTAGTGACACCTTTTACTACACATGCAAAGCATACTGACTTGGGCTTTCTTTCTCAGGGAATGTTTAGGACCTACTCAAATGTCTGTATTCCAAACTAGGATGTAGAGTTAATTGCAGACCTCTTGAAGTTGTCAGTGAGGGGAATGCTTTCATGAAGACCTTGTGTTGAACTCACAAATGACCAGCATCTCTAGAACAGATGAGATTGTGAAAAAATAGAAATAGATACCTTTTATGTGAAGCTTAATGTGGTTCATTCTTCTCTTTTTGATTTCTTTCTGCCTCCCAGTGGAGAACTTGTGCAGATCATGATGGCAACAGCCAATGAGAACCTCTCTGCTAAATTCTGTAATCGAGTTTTGAAATTCTTCACCAAACTCTTCCAGCTGAGTGAGTGACAGCTTTTAGTAATCTTCTTACGGGAACTTTGATGTCTGGCTAATACTGTGCATATCTTCTGCCTGAGTTTAACTATAGCATGAAAATACTAACAAGTGGAGAGAATCCCTCAAAGAAAGTTTGGAAGGAAGTTGAAAACCTGCTTGAAGACTTTTCCTCTTTCTTGGCCTTCCTTCCCTCTGGCCCTTCTTCACTGATGTTGCCCTCTTGATCTGTCCTTAGCCGAGAAGAGCCCTAACCCGAGCCTTCTGCATCTCTGTGGCTCTTTGGCACAGCTGGCTTGTGTGGAGCCCGTGCGTCTCCAGGCCTGGCTCACCCGCATGACTGCCTCACCCCCGAAAGATTCTGACCAGCTGGATGTGATCCAGGAGAACCGGCAATTGTTGCAGTTACTGACCACATACATTGTTCGGGAGAACAGGTAGAACAGCTGCATTTGTGTCATGTGCCCCTAACCACCTCAGAAATGTAATGAAAGTAAGGCTCTTTTTCTACCAACGTTAGTCTTAGCGTTTTCAAGTCTTCTTTCTCTAGATCCAAAGAATCTAGCTAGTGTAGCTCCTGGGTATTTTTTATGGAAAACTTATAGAGTGAATTGCCTGTCAGTTGCAACATGGGTGGATATTTTATGCTATACAAACCCACGACTGAGATTAGTATATATAGTCATAAATTCAGTATTTCATTTAGAGCCTTTCTTATTTTTAAATATTGAGTGATACTTAGAGCTTGATTCTTATTGGTTACTTACAAGTTTTCTGTTTGTTTTCTGACAGCCAAGTTGGGGAAGGTGTGTGTTCTGTGTTGCTGGGCACACTGATCCCCATGGCAACAGAGATGCTAGCCAATGGTGATGGGACTGGCTTCCCTGAACTCATGGTTGTGATGGCAACCTTGGCCAGTGCAGGTCAAGGTGCTGGGCATCTTCAACTTCATAATGCTGCTGTGGACTGGCTGAGCAGATGGTAAGATGATGAAATGAGAGGAATCCACCTGTAGGTTAAAGCATTGCTTTTGGTGAAGAGAATGGTTACTTCTTTATAGTTTAGAGTAAATATAAAAGAAACTTGAATCTCTATTTTTTTTTTCTGGGGTCAAGGTAGTGGCAAATATATCTGTTTGATTATTAAGATCTCCCTGTTCATCACTCCTGAGGGAGCATTCTTTTGGGAGAAGTATAACAAGTGTCATGTCGTTGATGGTTCTAAGATCAGAGTGTCCAAGCCTCTGCTTACTACGTAGTTACCTAAGAATACCTATCTTTCTTCAGTGTCTACCCATTGATTAAGGTTTATGAAAATACTTTATTTGGTTCCCTAGATAATCTTATGTCTCTCTCCCAACTTTTCCTTTGGGACAGTAAGAAATACCTGTCACAGAAGAATGTGGTTGAAAAACTGAATGCCAGTGTAATGCATGGAAAGGTAAGCAGAGTGTCAGCTGACTTAGAGAGTGAGGGCACAAGATGATTATTATCTTTGTGGTCAGGTGGAAGTTTCTTCTTCCTGTTGGCTTCTATCCCTGGTTATCCTACAGAAGATGAAGCCTGCAATATCAGATACCTACAAGTGGATAATTGCTAATAACATGCTCTCAGACCTCATCCAGGTGGCAGGATTTGATAGGAGGGAAATAAGACAAACATCCAACAGAATCCTTAAAACCTAGCGAGTTCCTGGTTATTTCAGATATTGCTGTACTAGGGAAAATTGTCACTTAGTCCTTTTAGTTGGAATTGCCAGCTCTGTTTAATGTTCTATGGGATTACAGACTACTTCCTCAACTCCAGTCCAGAAACTGATGGGAAACCTGCACTGAGGCATTTCCCCCTGTCTAACCTAAGAACCTGACGTAGATGACTAAGAGCATAGCAGCTGATAGCGGAATCTTCCATGCTGCTTTTCATTTCTGCCTCCTTTTAAGATAATCTTTTGAGAATAGAAATGGCAGTATTCAGAGTGAAGGCCCTTTTAAATCTGAGGGTTTTTTTTTATCCATACCTTTTTTCTAAAAAAAAAATTGTTATTAATTTCAATGAAAATTTACAGAGACTTTGGATTTCCATTCATTCATTGTTGCACTTTCCCCCCCTCCCAGTTCTCTCCCCCAGTACACTACCCTCTTGGAAAAGTAAAAGAAAAATTCTTTAATTGTTTTACAATCCCTCCCACCAGGTCCACTCCACTATGCAGCCTTCGCTCTAGATTCCTGTCATGACAGAAATACCTAATCACATATCCCTTTTAAACAGTTTTCTCCCTCATCTGTTTTAATTCAGTATGCATTATTGAACTCATCTTTTCAGTCTCCCCAATCCCAAGGTCAATCCTGTTTTACAACAGTGACACCATGCAGTATTTGTCCTTTTGTGACTGAGATACTTCACTCAGCATGATGTACAATGTATACTCACCCATTTTGTACAAGATTTCATGAGCTCTTTGTTTTTCAATGCAGCGTAGTATTCCATTGTGTGAATATACCACAGCCTCTATCCATTCATTTGTTGATGGGCACTTAGGTTGTTTCCAACTCCTTACTATTGTGAACAAAGCCGGAATAAACATGGATGTGCATACTAAATCTGAGATTTTGAAACTAGACTGCTGGCATTAATTAAGCAAGCATGAACCACCACTTGCAGTAATTTGCTAGACAATTTTCAGTTGATTGCTCAAGTTGTTCTTCTCTTCCTGAGTTAAAACTCAACATGTAAAATATTACTCAGTGATAGTTTTGGTTTTTCAAAACAGTACTGATTGGGAAAATGCTAATGAGATCCCCTTTGTAATGTTGATCTGGTATTTTTCTTGAATTACTTTTGTCTATATTTTCACTCCATTCTCCCAAGTTTTCATTTTACTCTTACACGATTTTGTAAATAGTTATCTTTGTGTTTAGAGTGAAAGTGTTCTAAGTCTGCAACTTATTAACCAGCTCTGCATGTACTTACTGTTAAAGCTGGAGAGAGAAATAATTAAGATGGGTTGTTTTTTTTCTCTGCTTTTAGATTATTGCCCTGAATTTAAGATTTATTAGGAAAAATTTGAAAAAAATATAGTCTGTAGAATATAACAGTATGGTGAACTGAGGCTTCTGTGGTGTTTTCTGGCCTTCTCGTGTAGCATGTGATTGTCTTGGAGTGCACATGTCATATTATGTCTTACTTGGCTGATGTCACGAATGCTCTCAGTCAAAGTAATGGTCAAGGTCCAAGTCACCTCTCAGTGGATGGAGAAGAGCGAGCCATTGAGGTTGACTCAGACTGGGTGGAGGAGTTGGCAGTGGAAGAGGAAGATTCTCAGGCTGAGGATTCAGTAAGTACTGAGTAATGTCAAAGGTCACCTCTCAGGGTAATAACAAACATACCCTTGTAGAATTCATGGTGAAAATCCTTTGGATTTTCAGAAATGAGCGACCAGGTATAAATTCTTGGACTCTCTTTTCTAGAAACTGTAAACTTTAAAACTCAGTGCAGTCCATGTTGCTTTCTGCTAGTTAATACAATTACTGTCATACACTCATTTTCTAGACCTCCATAGCAAGCTTTTGACATCTAATCTTTAGGGGAAAGGACAACTTAAAACGTTTTCCTTTTGTTCTGTCCAGTTACTCATCCTAACCTTAGTGTTTATATTTAATGTAGGATTATTTCAGGGATGAGTTTTCAATGGGGATGGTGTGAACACCTTTATAGAGATAACATACAGTTTACTTATTTTTATTTTCTTAACCGTAAAACTCTTCAGATCTTACCTGAAATTACACAGATTTTCAGCTTGCTAGATATTTCCACTTGGGACAAGTTTCTGACTGTCATTTATGAGTCAGATAAGTCTTTGTAAGGTGGTGTAGCCAGGTGTGTTTTTGTGGGTAGTCTATGAACAGATTTCTGATTAAAAGACTCATTATCTTTGAAGGATGAAGATTCTCTTTGCAATAAACTCTGCACTTTTACCATCACACAGAAAGAGTTCATGAACCAACATTGGTAAGGAGTGTTCCTTTTAGAAGAGGATTTATTGAGCCTTAATTCTTGGAACTTCTGGCTCATTTTCTGGCTCTTGTCCTCTATAGGTACCACTGCCACACTTGCAAAATGGTCGATGGGGTGGGTGTGTGCACAGTATGTGCTAAGGTGTGCCACAAGGATCATGAGATTTCCTATGCCAAATATGGATCATTCTTCTGTGACTGTGGAGCCAAGGAAGATGGGAGCTGTTTGGTGAGAAATCTGAAATGTGCACTAGATTATAATGTGTTATAGTGACACAGGAATCTTAAGCCAAACTAGAAACCTACCACATCACTCTCATGGGAGCTAGAGAAACAAAATCTGGCTCTGTCACTGGATAATCATGGCCTAAGTACTTCACTTTGAATCTTGGAACTAGCTAGGCTCTAGAGATCTTGTAGTTCAATCTTCCTACCATGGTGGGTAAGGCAGCCCCACCATCATAACAATTTGAGATGTTTGTAATCAAGGTTTGATTGTGTACATAGGGAAGTAGTTAGATACTAGTTGAGTTTGGACCTTTGGGTATAATTTAAATCCTTAGCTGATTATTCCTTTGAGTTATATTTTCTTCCTGATCTTATTTTTACCTGCCCTTTGTGGCAAGAACTTGTGACTTGTGACTTTCTGTCTTTAGGCACTGGTGAAGCGAACTCCTAGCAGTGGCATCAGCTCCACTATGAAGGAGTCAGCATTTCAGAGTGAACCTAGGGTTTCTGAGAGCTTGGTGCGCCATGCCAGCACCTCTTCAGCGGACAAGGCCAAGGTCACCATCAGTGATGGAAAGGTTGCTGATGAAGAAAAGCCCAAGAAGAGCAGCCTGTGTCGCACAGTGGAAGGCTGTCGGGAGGAGCTACAGAACCAGGTGGGACAGAGTTAAGAGCTGGGCAAGTTTGTTGAAGAGTAATAGAGAAAGCTCTTCGTAATACCATAGTGCTGGGTCTTATGGTAGGTGTCTTTTTTCCCTCAATTTTCTCTTTTTCGAAGTGATTTAGGGAAAAAAAAAGAAATACTGTGTGAGGATTTTATTTTTTTTTTAAATTTTTTTGCACAATTACTCCATGGATTTAAAAATATTTTACACCTTTAATATTATGAGAGTCTTGCCATATTTTAAAAAATAAGAAGTAAACATGTCTGCCAAAAGAACCCCAACAGGCCTGACCTTCGACTTTGCTTTCGGCACTTTCCAAGAACTGCAAGACTTCCCTGCTACAAAGGGAAGAGAATCCCACTGCAAACCACCTTCTTTCCCTCTGCAGAGTGGAATACTATGTGTTTTGAAGTCATTTCCTCATTGGAAAGGATTTGTAATGTGGTAGGGTTTGTTTGGAAAAGTGCATTTTATTTTTGCTTTACTCTTCGAGCACTCTTGGCTTTTCATCTGCAGCATAGAATAGAAAATTGCTTGAATTACTGTTTAATTCATGCAGGATGGTAATAACTAGAATATTCTAGCTGCGTAGGTGAAGTTGACTATATATGATCGAGGCCTTCACGCATTAGATAGTCTGTTTGGAACCTCTTTTTTTTACGTTTTTTAATTTTTATTTTATTATTTGTGTGTGGGTACCATCAAATTAGATCTGACTGGTACAGGAGGAGATTGTCCCTCCTTCCTCGGCAGAGCATCTGGTGGATTCGAACTGTTTGCCTCTGGGATTGCAGTGCAGCTTCTTGCCACTAGGCCACCAGAGCTCCCCTTGTTTGGAACCTCTTTTTTGCAAGAATGATGTAGTGACTGTTAGGGAAGACACTGGAAAGTTTTAGTTACAGTAAGAAACAAATACATTATTATGGGGAGGCTAATTAGAAAATAACAGATAAAGGAATTCTGAATGAAGTTACTAATATTAGAAAGGTATGACGACTATTCCTCTTCCCCCCCCCCCCCCCCCCCCCCCCATTTATTTGGATCTTTCTCAGGCCAATTTTTCCTTCGCGCCTCTTGTGTTAGACATGCTCAATTTCCTAATGGATGCCATTCAGACGAACTTTCAGCAGGCTTCGGCTGTAGGGAGCAGCAGCCGGGCTCAGCAAGCCCTTAGTGAGCTGCATACAGTGGAAAAGGTGGTTGAGATGACAGACCAGCTGATGGTGAGTTTTCACAGGGTTATGGTATTTGGTAGTTAATAGGAACCAACATATTTATTGAGATACCAAAATATGCCAAATAATGCTATTTTGAACTTAGAATCTAAAATATCATGACATCTTCCAGGTATATGAACAGTTTGAAAAATCAGTATATGAGATAAATCTTCAGAAGGAGAGCATTCAGAGGTCATTTTGGTTCAACCCAGTAAATAAATCCCTTTTACAAATGAGCTCCCAGTGATGGGAGACTTATGGGGCAATTATAATGAAAATGTCGTTCTTTATTTAAAGCAAAACCCTTCTTACTATGTCTTCTCCCCTGAGGTTTGCCTAGCTTGCAACAATAATGTTTCTCTTTTTCTAGTTATAGCCTTTCCTCTAATTCTTCATATTAGATGGGTTATTAGTTATAAGTCTTTCTATTAAAAAAAACCCACTGCTCAGACTGACAACAATACCAGAAAGAATGGTGGGGTTGGCCTGTTTGGCAGCAGTGTTGAGTAGTGAAATGCAAGCTGGCAGCAGTTCTGAAAACCCAAAATCGAAAGCTCACTACCATTCAATTGATTTGGACTCATAAGGCCACTCTAGATCGGTCCCATATTGTTTCCAAGGTTGTAAATCTTCAGTTTTCTTCTGGTGAGTTTGAGCCACTGACCTTTTAGTTAACAATCAGATACCTTAACCACCTCATCACGAGAACTCTTGCAATGCAAAACAGAGAGTGCAAAACTTATGTATGCCAGAGAGGTACTTGCTCAGGTGGTTGTTTTTAAGAAAAGACTTCACTGGGAAATACACATACAGGGTGCTACATATGCTAATATTAAAAATCAGTCACAGTTTTAGGGCAGTGTTTAGATTTTTAGATATTTTATTTACTGAAGTTGAGGTGGTTGTTGTTAGGTGCCCTTGAGTTGTAGACGACTCATAGCAACCTTATGAACCAAAGGCCTGAGCACTGTTCATAGAGTTTCCAGAGGCAAGCCATTTTGGAAGTGGATGCCACTACTGCTTCCAGGCTTGTTTTTTTTTTTTTTTTTTTAAATTTTATTATTGTGTGTGTGTGTGTGTACCGTCAAATCGGATCGGAATGGTACCGGAGGAGATTGCCCCTCTTTTTCCAGCAGAGCATCTGGTGGATTCGAACTGCGTACCTCTCGGATTGCAGGGCAGCTTCTTGCCACTAGGCGATCAGAGCTCCCAAGGCTTGTTTTAATTGGGAAACTCCAGCAAACACTGTCCACCATGGGTAACCATTATCACATTTGGCACATCAGTGTCACAGTGTTTAGTATCACAGCAACCACAAGTTACCTCTGTACAGCAATGCACAGACCAGTGCTAGACCACCTAGAAGAATGTTTGACAAAAAAACCAATTTGAACCAGACCTGAGGGCCACAGATTAAAATCACCCACCTTGGGCTTGGTAGCATAACTTTCTGTCCACTAGGCCAGCGTAGCTCTCTGTTTTCGTTATTGTTGTTAGATGCCGTTGAGGTAAAGCTGCTGACTTAATTTTGCCAGGTTAGATCAGTGAAGAAAAATTGAATCTATGCTTGCCGTCATTTTATAAAAGAAAGAACATTTGGAGGGCAAGTTTCTTTGTATTAATTTAGCTTTGTGGAAAGTTTATTACATTGTTGTTATTGAACTGGTAATAACTTTGACAAAGACACAAAGGAATCAGTGGAGTGGAAGTTGGAATCAAATAATCAAACTACACAATGTCTCATTTGTGTGATTGTGTTTGAGTCCACTGATTGCTTTTGAAGGTTCATATTTTCCTTAAGACTTTGATTTATTTGCCTATCACTGGATGCTTTGTTTCTCTTTTTGTCAGGTTCCCACCTTAGGTTCCCAGGAAGGAGCCTTTGAGAACGTGCGGATGAATTATAGTGGTGACCAGGGCCAGACCATTCGACAGCTCATTAGTGCCCATGTGCTCAGGCGAGTAGCCATGTGTGTACTCTCCTCACCACATGGACGCCGCCAGCATTTGGCTGTCAGCCATGAGAAAGGCAAGGTGGGTTTTGTAACTCTTTCCCACTCATCTTATGTCTGTTTAAATGCTAAGCAAAAAAGATTGATTATATGGGGAAAAGTCCACTGAGTTTGAAGCATGGTTTAGGGACAAATTTCAGTGAGTTCTTTTACTTAAACTCTTGAGACGTTTAGTTTCAAATTAGTGAATTCTCACTCAGAAGAATACTCTTTAAGTCCTTAAGAAAAGGTAACAACCAGAATGGCTTTGTTGTCAGGCTTGGCCGGTTTGGTCACTCTGAAAGGCACAAACTGAGAGACAAAAGATCTTCAGAGAGGAGCTCAGTGTTCTTTCTTTAGTCCTCCCTTGTCCTCTTATCTTTTGAAGACACAAGGACAGGCATGCTGTTTTCTAGAACTAGAAGGGGAGCACTGGTGGCCTAGTGGCAAGAAGCTGTGCTGCAATCCAGAACTAGAAGTTTTTCCATTCAGGGTACATTTATTTTAACCTTCTCTTATGTGAAGACCAAAGTAGAGAAACAGTTTCATTGATAAATGGAAAAGGCTAGTATTGAATAGAGTTTAACTATTTTATGGACGAATAAAAATTATTTTTCTTTTGTTTTATCCTCCATATAATTTATCTAGAAAAATATGAGGCTATTATTGGCCTCGGACTTACCCATAAGAAACCTTTGGTATTACTATATTCCTATTGAGGGGACTCCTGTTAACTTGCTTTGTTTTTATGAAGAGTCCTGAGGTTAAGAATAAATAATTGTTCCTTTTCAGATCACTGTTCTGCAGCTCTCTGCACTCCTGAAGCAGGCAGATTCAAGCAAAAGGAAGTTAACTCTGACCCGTTTGGCTTCTGCCCCAGTTCCTTTTACTGTCTTGAGCCTTACTGGAAATCCTTGCAAAGAGGACTACCTTGCAGTTTGTGGACTGAAGGTAAAAGTCTTTACTGAGCAAGGTTTGAGTATCTTGAACTATGCATCCTACAGTCACCTTTCCCTTTCTCAGTATCATTTTTTCTTTCTCATTGTCAAAATTAAAGCATCAGAATCATTAGAATACAGATTTCTCTGGGTTTCTTCCAAAACTTTTGGATTTCTTCTGGAAATAACTCTGTGTTCCTGAAATGTGGATATGTCTAGACAATCTGAGTACTATCTGAAAATAGAGAATTTTAGGAAGGAACGGAAAACATTGCAATTTTGAAATGAGTATATTAGCTTACTGTCCAAATTAATCTTTTATCGATTTTGTTCCTTAAACTGTGTACAGGACTGCCATGTGTTGACCTTCAGTAGCTCAGGGTCTGTTTCAGATCACTTGGTGTTGCACCCGCAATTGGCAACTGGGAACTTTATCATCAAAGCTGTATGGTTACCTGGTTCTCAGACTGAGTTAGCAATCGTCACGGCCGACTTTGTCAAGGTACAGTTAAAACTTTTTTGATGACATTGTCCAAGAATGTTTCAGTTTTTAAAAATTTCTTTCTTGTGACTGTGATTTAAGTGGAAATTTACATGATTTATTGATTTTATTTGTTCAACCATTCATATAAATTTTATAATATTAATGACATTTGTTTGTAGGGTTGCTATGAGTTGTCTACGACTTGATGGCACTTAACAACATTAACAACATAACAGCAACAACCCACAATGTAATGGAAGTTTTCTCATTTCCTTGCAAAAATCTCCATCTTTATTAATCTTCCTATTCTACCTCCTCCTGCCTGCAAGACTTGATCCTTGGGCCAGTTTTAACTTGTGCGGTTGTTTAGTCTAACAAATAATTGCTTCTGTGGTGTTAATTGTTAACCTTGTAGGCCTGTCCGTCACTTGGCTAAACGTTGAGCCATGGGCTAAATTTATTTGAAGGGTGATTAAAAATCAAAGTATTGTGGTTTCATCAGTCTCTTTTAGACTTCTAAACCTGATTTTATTTACATTTTTGAATTTCGTTCCCCAAACTCTATTCATTATCGTCCATTGTGATTTACTTTAGAGTAGTCGGTGATGGTAAGTATTACAAGAAAAGAATTGATGCCTTTGAGCTGTGGTATTGAGCACTTACTGAACATACCGGGATGGCTAAGAGAACAAACATATGTTTTGGAGAAGGTGCAGCCAGAGTGCTCTTTGGAGGCAAGAATAATGAGGCTTTGCCTCACATACTTTGGCATGTTGCTAGGAGGGGCTATTCGTTGGAGAACATGAAGCTGGGAAGGGTGGAGGGTTGGTGAAGGAGAAGAAGATAGTCAGCCAGGTGGATTGACACGGTAACTACCGCTATGGGTCGTTGTGTGTCAGAAAGTGTGAGGATGGCACAAGAATCAACAGGGTTCAGATCTTTTGTTCACAGGGTTGTTAGGAGTCATACTCAATTTGGCAGCACCTAACAATAACAGAAGGTGATGATAAACAGACACTAAGAATTTCTTCTGATTTCAAGGTACTTGAAGTTGAGTTTTGCACTTAACTCTTTAGGGGACTCTGGTGACGTAGTAGGGTCAGATGTCCAGAGGTAGTTGGTTTGAATCCACAGGCTGCATTGAGGGACAAGGGTTGGGCATTCTCCTCCTGTGCAATTTACAGCTTCTGAAAACCCTCTGGAGGGTTATCTCTGAATGAGTTGGTTCTGACTCAACAGCAGTGAGTTTTGAGAATTTGAGTTTTTTTTCAGTCTTTTGGAATAATTTTTTTTTTTTTTTAGTCCTGAAGACTTTATTTAGGATCAATTTGTGTGAGGTACATTCTGACATTGAAAACAGTTATAGTTCAGGAATGTGGGTTACTGATTCCCCACAGCCCAACAGCAGAAACACATTACACCTCCCCAAAAGCAAGCTTTAAAAATTTTTAAGACATTGTTAAATGGATTGACAATTTTCCAACTATACATTCTCAAAGTTACAGCCTTTATCAGTATTATACTCAAAATACAGTATAGGAATATATACAGTGACATTGACTCTTGTCATCATACTAAGTCAGAAAGGGAGGAAATTACTATGGAATTTAGTAAGCATATTAAGTACTTCAATATTCAAGATATTACGGATGTTATGCCCAAAGACCAGTACCAACATTTTAACCCAAATAAGAACAGACAATAGTGTTATCTAGTTTTTATTTCAGTCATAAATTTGTCTGCAATCCTGCTAAGCTTGTAGAGAAATAAAGCATGGAACCCAAAGAACTGTAGCAAGAGCACAAAGATTAAAAGGTACTTCAAGCACACTGGGGGTCGCAAGGTGATTTCTGGAGCTATAGAAGGAATGATGTGGTGATTAAGAGAAAACATGAAATACAGATCATAATTAGAGTTGTCCACAGTCAGCAATGGTGATCTTCTTGCTGGTCTTGCCATTCCTGGACCCGAAGCGCTCCATGGCTTCCACAATGTCCATGCCTTCTTTCACCTTGCCAAAGACTACATGCTTGCCATCCAACCATTCAGTCTTAGCAGTACAGATAAAAAACTGGGAACCATTTGTATTGGGTCCAGCATTTGCCATGGACAGGATGCCAGGACCTGTGTGCTTCAGGATGAAGTTCTCATCATCAAACTTCTCCCCATAGATGGACTTGCCACCAGTACCATTATGGCATGTGAAGTCTCCGCCCTGGCACATAAACCCGGTGGTGAGAGCGCCGAATCCTAACCACTAGACCACCAGGGATAGAATAATTATTTTAATATACCTTTTCTTTGTTCTGGACAGGGAGAAACAGATACATTAGACGAATAATAGAGCAGTATATTAGATGACTGCTTGTAAGCTTTAGGGAGCTCTGGTGGCCTAATGGTAAGGAATTGCCAAAGGTAATGCTGTTCGAATCCACAAACTGCTAGATAGTCTTTCCCGTGTGATTTACTGTTGCTGAAAACCTGCTGAAGGGTCAGCTGTGAATTGATTTGACTCAGTGGTTGGTATACAACAATAATAGTCACTACTTAAACCAAAGTATGATGTAGAATGTGGATTGTAATGCCAGTTGACCTTGATGTTCCTCAAGAATGATTTTAAGACCCTAGAATGAGCAGTTCATTCCTTTAGGGTGTTTGATAATGATTTAAGACCTTTACAAAGCATTACCCCCTTTTGGCTTTTCTGTATATGTGGAAATATTGTACGTAGGATCACCTTGAGTCGCATGTGATTTGATGATGCCTAAAAACAACAGCAGCAACAATGTATATGTGGATGCATTTGCAGTATATTCTATTGTAAATATATGAATATCATCTAACACACTTATGTGTGGGCATGGGTGCAATATTTTTCAACTATTCCCACTCTCTTTGTCTTCCTGCCTGCCTCTATATTGGGTGTTGTGGCTCTACTTTTAAGTGCTCTCGAATATCTGTTCTCCATAATGTCCTTGTTTCTCCCAGAAATGAAGGACCACTAGTATTCTGTTGCTTTTTGTTATGTTGCTAAGCAAGAGTTTTCTGTTTGTAGGCAATATGAAATTGATTCTAATTGTACCCCTACTATATCAAATGCACAGTTACTATGTACTTGTAAGATTTTTGTTTCTGATTGGCTTTTCTCCTGTTTTCCTGAGGGAAAGCAGAAAGTTACTTGGTTTATCTTTTTATATATCCAATGCTTAACATTAGGTGCTTACTGAATGGAAAACAAATGCCTGTTACTCACCAATTCCAGATATTTGGATTCACCAGGATATTTTGCAGATGGAAATGAAAAAGACTTCTATTATAGTTATCTTTTTTCTGTCTTGCAGATTTATGACTTGTCTGTTGATGCTTTGAGCCCAACATTCTACTTTCTCCTGCCTAGCTCAAAGATAAGAGATGTTACCTTTCTCTTCAATGAGGAGGGGAAGAACATAATTGTTATAATGTCTTCTGCTGGATATATCTATACTCAGCTCATGGAAGATGCCAGCAGTGCCCAGCAGGGACCCTTCTATGTCACTAATGTACTGGAAATCAATCACGAGGACCTAAAGGTTAGAGCACATGTTGGCTTTTCCTTCTATTCCAAGTTTAGTAGTTTAGCAGCTCTTTTGTGGTTGTTCCTTCCTTTTTCCCTTCCCCCCTTCTGATTTTTTTACCCAACAAGAAAAAAATGCAAAAACTTTTGACCTTTAGGACTAAACTTGTTCAACTTGAATTTTCTTTAGCCTTGTGGTATTTGTAAAGTTTATTTGCAAGAATCTCATGCCTAGAGTCAAAGAGCACATAATCATGGTTTAAAACTAATAACAGAATAAACGGAAAGCTGTTACCTGAGACAACGTGAGTAGTTAAATGTTGTATCTTTGTACCGGCAGGACAGTAATAGCCAGGTTGCAGGCGGCGGTGTGTCCGTGTACTACTCCCATGTGTTGCAGATGTTGTTCTTCAGCTATTGTCAAGGCAAATCCTTTGCAGCAACCATCAGTAGGACTACTCTGGAGGTGTTGCAGCTCTTCCCTATCAACATCAAAAGGTGAGAAAGAGCGTTTAATTAAATGCTTGACTTCTTGTTCACTTACTCATTGCTGTCAGTTCAGAATGAACTCATAACTGATGCCAGCAGATTTTTAGAGGCTGTAAATCATTCAACAAGTGATTACCTATCTTTCTCCTGAAGAGCATCTTGTAGATTGAACCACCTGTGTCTGGTTTGGCAGTGCAGCTTCCTACCGACTTGGTCACCCGGGGTCCCTTTGACTTCTGGAATGCCCATCTTCCCATGTTCTGCTATCTGTAATAAGTCTAGTTAAAATAATTTTCAGCAGTCTTCTTCCCCTGCTAGGTGTCTTTGATACAGTAATGTTTAGGCAGGTTGAGCTGTCTGCCCTGGTTTCTCTTGCCAGGAAGAGGTAGTTTGGGAGACCACTGCTACTCAGAAGGAAAAACTTTAGTCAGAGCAGCAAATGAGGTTTTGATATGATTACCAAATTTTAAGAAGGTAACCTGTGTTTCTCCTTAGCACTCCTCTTCTAATGTCCTTTAAGTTTTCCCCTACTAGTAGAATATATGCAGGCTTAGTGTGTTATGTTTTTGGACTGCTAACTGAAAGATGGGCAAGCCAAGCCCATCAGCTGTTCTGTAGGAAGAAAATGGGCAGTTTCCTGTAAAGATTCATAGCCTCAGAAACCTGGTGAATAGAGATTGGTTTCATGGCAGTGAATGTGATGTTTTTGGTTTGTTTGTGGTAGTGAGTTTCTTTTTTTTTTAAAATTTAACACTAAGTAAAATGTGTATGTGCAATGGGGACCTGATAGGAGTTGGTGCTATACAGGCTTTCATCAAGTTTTCAGATAATAGAAAGGTGTGGGAGATATTGAGGATTTTTATATAGGAAGGAAGAAGAATAGATTTTGAGATTTCTTACCTGCTATTGAAGAGCCAGTATAATACTGTCTCTGGTCACTATTTTGTGAATGACCTGGTTTGAGGTAAAGTAATATGGATATCATTTTACTTATAGAAATGATCTATTCTGATATATATAATCTGATGTGCTTGGAAGTTTGTATAGGGCAGTGAATCATCAGCCTTAAGAGATCTATGCCCTTATGCAGTTGACAACATATAAGGCTGCCTGTTTCTCAAATAGTAGGACCTAATAACAAATTTTAAGCCAAGACTGGATGCATAAGGGTGCATTTTGGGGTATGTGAGAGTATAGCTATATGACTTAGAGTAAAACTGAGATCTATGGATAATTTGATTTGTGGACAGGTATGTTATTCCAGAAGCCAAATGTTTAGTCAGGATATGGGCATTAGGCTAAGAAAAGAACTAATAGCTAGTGATTCATGTCCTAACTATGCCCAGTTTTGTTGTCTACAGCTCCAATGGTGGCAGTAAAACATCTCCTGCTCTTTGCCAGTGGTCTGAGGTGATGAACCATCCTGGCTTAGTATGTTGTGTCCAACAAACTACAGGTGTGCCACTGGTAGTTATGGTGAAACCAGACACTTTTCTTATCCAGGAAATTAAAACTCTTCCTGCAAAAGCTAAGGTCAGTGCCAGATTCTCCTGTCACTTTGCTGTGAACCTGATCTAGTTTTATATTTGTGTTATTTTTTAAATTTTGATCCATTTTCTCTTAGACACTTTGATTTACTACTCTTTTGCACCCACCAACTGACCCTAAAGCCATTTCCTTCTTTTTCTCCCTGTGGGTTCTGAAGTGTGAGAACTGATAATCTTCCCTGTCTTCTTATTCTCCCAGATCCAAGACATGGTTGCCATTAGACACACTGCCTGCAATGAGCAGCAGCGGACAACGATGATCTTGCTGTGTGAAGATGGCAGCCTGCGTATTTACATGGCCAATGTGGAGAACACTTCCTACTGGCTGCAGCCGTCCTTGCAGCCTAGCAGTGTCATCAGCATAATGAAGCCTGTGAGAAAACGGAAAACAGCTACCATCAGTAAGGCCCCTTCTCAAAAGACAGCTGGCGGAGTGGGAGTGGCAGCTTTTTTTTTTCCGAATTAACAAAGTTTATTTTGAGTTCGAACCTGGGCTCCCGCGTGCTGACACAGCAGCATCCAGCCGAGAGCCGAATGGCAGCTTTTTACATGACTAAGAGTAGACTGTTGTAAATAATGGTCTTGCTTGCATATTTTATAGAATAAAGTTATATGTTCCTTAATCGCTAAAAGCAGAATCAGGTTTTCAAGCCACCATTATTTTGTACAGGTCTTTTGAGATACGTTATACAGACAGTAGCCACCCATTGCCAGTTGTTGGTCAGGAGTTCTTAGGTGCCTAGTAACGTACTTGATTGAGAGATTCTTTTTTCTGGGTTTAGGGCAAATGTCTTGACTGATGTGAGGTGCAGGATTGAATTGACTAGACACATTTGGTGGTTAATTTCCCACTGATTAGTTCAGAAACCATCACAGATCTCTGAGCTGGTGGTCTTGCTCCTGAATGACAGAGAACGTTCCAGGGAAATGAAAGCTGGAATTTAGGAGAACATGACCCTGCCTGAGTAGCGGCCACTGTTGAACCTAACCACTTTACTGTAAACGTGTTCTAGATTCTTTGAGATAATAGTGTAGCTCATCCTCCTGAAAAGAAATAGCTTGTATTGCTTATTTTAGATAAGCCAACTCTGGTAGAACTTATTGTTGTTAACTATATACCCAATGCCAGATTTCTTTGAATTGTTACATCATGTTGTGATTAAGGGCTAAGAACTTTTAAAGAGCTAACCACATGTAGATACTGTCCTGATGCTAACAGTGTACAGTAAAGCCTGCAAACAATTAAGTAAGGAAGAAACCTATTAGGGAAGGAAAGAACAAATATTTTCCACTAACAGAGTAAAAGAAAAATGGTAAGGCTGCATCTTTTAAGAACAGAAAGCTTGTGAGATTGTAAAAAACAAGACAATATCATTGAATTGTGGTTGTCACAGTTTTCACTGTAAACCAGTTTGCTTAGAAAGGTTAGAGTATATACGATTCTTTCTGGAGGGAGTTTTTACCTGGAGAGTGGGAACAGAGTGATAAAGAATGGTCTCTGACAATGTCATATTTTGTCTCTAGCAACCCGCACGTCTAGCCAAGTGACGTTCCCCATTGACTTCTTTGAACACAACCAGCAGCTAACAGATGTGGAGTTTGGTGGTAATGATCTCCTGCAGGTCTATAATGCACAACAAATAAAGCACCGACTGAATTCCACTGGCATGTATGTAGCCAACACCAAGGTGAGGACCACATTGGACTCTAGTTTGTTCCTGGATAGAAGGATTTATAAAAAACAGGGTCCAAGAAGATATCTTTTAAAATGCAAGTATAGATCTATAGTAGCTAACCTTTGATTCTAATTAAGTGATTCGTTGAATAAATGAATATTCTTAAGTGAAAAAGCTTCCCATTTTATAGCCTGGATTGCTACCATTATTGTTGTTATTTTTATGTGCCATTGAGTTGACTATGACTCATAGCTACCCTATGCACAAAGCTCTTTACCCTGTTATCCGTGAAGAATGCAAAAAGTCATTACAAAGACAGAGGAGGAAGAAAAGACCGAGATGGATGTTGGAACACTCTCCAGCATTAGTTAGCAGGAGAAAGTTGTTAACAGTGGGGAAAAGAGAACTTGAAATTCTTTGAGATATTAGGGTAGCACATCTTCCTAAAGAGAAGTGACTTGTTTACTTATTTTAAATATGCCAGATTTCTTTGCATTGCTGTGTCAAAATGAAAAAGAATTTATCTCTTGCGTCTTTCCCTACTTTGTAAAGCAGTAAGTCATTATTAGACAGTTAAAAGGAGAAGTCTTTATCTTTAATCACATGTTGAGACAGTGTCAGAAGAAGGATTGTTATGTTCAAGTGAAGACTTCTGTGAGTGTTCTGATGTGTTCTGATGCTTTTTCTGCCTGCAGCCTGGTGGCTTCACAATTGAGATTAGTAACAACAACAGTACTATGGTGATGACAGGCATGCGCATCCAGATTGGGACTCAGGCAATTGAACGTGCCCCATCATATATTGAGATCTTTGGCAGGACTATGCAGCTTAACCTGAGTCGCTCACGCTGGTTTGACTTCCCCTTCACCAGGGAAGAAGCCCTTCAGGCTGATAAGAAGCTGAACCTCTTCAGTAAGTCACCAGCCCCTGATATTGAATGTATTCTTGTTGTGACTGCTGAATTGGGGCCATTGGTCTGTGATTCACTAGCATTCTGAGACCTGTCTGTTATTAAGAAACTTTGAGTTCCCGCGGTTCAAATCCACCAGATGCTCTGCTGGAGAAGGAGGGGGTAATCTCCTCCTGTACCAATTAGATCTGATTTGACGGTACATGTAAAAAGAAATACAATAAAAATAAAATAAAAAAAAAGAAGAAACTTTGAGTTCCATTTGAGATGTAAGAGAAGCAGGGTGACCAGAAAGAGGGGAGGGGTAAAGATAGGGTGAAACTTGGCTCAAGTTCACATCATTGAGAGATACTGAACAGTCTTGCTTTTCTATTGGAAATCTTAAACACTTTGTACAATTACTAAGCTTTTCATAAGGTTGACATATTTCTCTATCACTTGCTGTCAACCTAATAACTTTTCTCTTGGAAATAGTTGTTAAATGTGAACAGCTGTACCCTAAGAGAATACTTACGGCCTAGTGGTAAGAAGCTGGGCTGCAGTCTCAAAGACATGTGGTTCAAATCCACCAGATTATTTGTGGGAGAAGGATGAGCAGTCTCCTCTCGTGTGATGAACTACCTCTGAAAACTCGCTAGGAGTTCGGCCATGGATCTGGTTTGACTCAATGGCATGTAACAACATAATCTAAACTTTGAACAAAGAGTGTTTAGATATCGCTGGGGGCTGGGAAATACCATTTTTCTGAGCATAGAGAATCATTACAGTGATACTTACGTAGGAACTTTAACAAACTTTTGGTCTATGGAACTGTTTCTACATATATTCATCATGTACAACTGATTAAATGGTTTCTGAAGCCTCAAGAGATAGTTCCTGAATGAATATAAAATCAATGAGATTTGCCACTTTGTCCAAACCAGTCTGATCTTCACTTTAAGGGGAGTGGCTTTAGCCCTGTTAAGACATTACTTCCTAAAACCTTTCTTGCTTGTTGCAGTTGGGGCCTCAGTGGATCCAGCAGGTGTAACCATGATAGATGCTGTAAAGATTTATGGCAAAACGAAGGAACAGTTTGGTTGGCCTGATGAGCCCCCAGAAGAATTTCCTTCTGCCTCCGTCAGCAACATCTGCCCTTCAAACCTGAACCAAAGCAATGGCACAGGGGACAGTGACTCGGTAGCCCCGACTACCACCAGTGGAACTGTTCTGGAGAGGTACCAGCTTTGGCAGGAATAACTTTCATGCTCACCATTTATCACTCTCACTGCAAAACCTCCCTGTCTTGAGAGAGTCTGCCTTTAAGTAACTGTCCCAAGTCTAATTTCCGCACAACTCCCAATATTGGGCATCTCCTCATTAGTTTGAGCACATCCTGGGAAATGTGCTCAGAGTCCTGTGAAACTAATCTCCACCCTGTTGCTTCTGTACCTTCTCTAACTCTTTTGAGTAGCCAGAGGCTACACACTAAATGCCTAAGCCAGTTTTGTATATTAGGATATGTCTTGCTGAAATTGTAGGGAAAAGACCTCCCTTCCATTCTGATCTCATCATCTCATCTTTCTCTACAGTAGCTGCTTATGTATAATGACATTGCTAGCAAGAGGCTGTCTGCTACATCTTGTGGCAGACTTCAGTGCCACCCCAAATCTCCCTACAGTGGCATTCTGAAGTATTGTGCTTGGCTTTCTTGTGCTAGGTAGCTGCTGGTTTGCCATGGTAGATGAAATAATTCATGATGTAAGATGTTGAGTTTCTTACATTATACATCATAAGAATAACCTTGCTTGGAATCATTGCCTCCTACCAGCAGCCCCCCACCCCTCTCTCTCTCTCTCTCTCTTTCCCTACCCTATTCATATATGGTTTGCTTAGGATGTGTTTACAGGTTTCTCTGAGCTTCACATTTTTTTCCTTTTTTTTTTTCTTTGCTTCTCCCCAAAGTTCTGAAACTGAGTCCCTAACCAAGCTGGACTGGTTAGTATGCCCTCTTTCTTTTCTCTGCACGAGTGAGTGTTTGTTAGAGAACAATGTAAACAATGCTGTGGCTTTGCGTGGATTCTGCTTCTGTTTAAGGGTTTTCCTGCTTCTTTCTGTTCTGGTCATTGCATGGCTACAGAGCTATCCATGTGTAAAAATGGCGCAAACAGAGGATTGTAAGTGCATACTTGGTGTTGGCCGCTTCAGAGTCTAGTCTATCTTAGCTCTTTTCCTTACCCATTCCTTTCTGCTCTCAGTGGGTGGGGGCTGGTGTAAGGGTGGGACAAAACATACAAAAAAGTCCTACAAACAACCGAAAGGTGGTTGTGTCCAATTTTTAATTCCCTTTTTCCTAGTTCCTCTGCTCCTTTATGCTTTTTCTCTCCAGCTACCTTCTCAGTATGTTTGTCTATCTGTAGCTTCAACTGTGAAAATGTTAGTCTTTTTTATTATGGCACATTAAGTTCAAAGGAGTAAGCCCCGATGAGCATGTTACTTGGGTACCCTTCATGCTTATAGGGTTTCCTATTCCTGCTCTAAGGGAAATCTGTATAGTCTTAAAAATTGCATTTCGCACTCCCCCTTGAGTGGCCGTGGTGGCAGGAACATGAGAATACAGTTTGTCCTTTCCCCCCCTACTTCGAAAGACACTCACAGGAAATGTCCTTGTAGCTTCTCTTGGAGATGTAAGTGAACTATAACCATAACCTTTTCAATCTAAGAAGATGGCTTTGACCTTTTCCATTGTATCCCTTTGCCCACTGATCTATGGGCACCTGAGCTAGGGTCCCATTGCATCAAGACTGTTAAACCAATCTCAGTGATCCCTGCCACAGGCAGCAGAAGGAAGCACATTTATCCTCTTTGAGGAAGAAAAGCCCTGTCTTTGAGTTTCGGATTATGAATATGGCCTCGGGTTGATCTTCGAGTAGGAGCCAGACTTCTTCTGGCCTGTAACATAAGGAAACGATATGCATGGTGCCTGTGGCAGGTCTTATTGTGCTTTGATTTTGTATTTGGCATTCATTAGCTGTCCCCAAGGTACCCACGACTAGAGTTTGCATAGGCTAAAGCACAGGCAGTGAGTGAGAAGGGTGTTGTACTCAAGCCAGCTTTTCTGTCTCCTTAGGCTGGTTGTGAGTTCTTTAGAAGCTCTGGAAAGCTGCTTTGCTGTTGGTCCAATCATCGAAAAGGCAAGTTACTTTTTCAAAAGCATGTGGGAGCTTTCTAAAGCAGCAAGAAATCATTGGAGTTGTCAGCGACCCTATGGCCTATAGCATCATTTTGATGTGCAAAGAAGCTCTAGAAAGTCTTTAGCATAAGGCCTTATGTCCTACTTTTGGGGGCCCACTTCCTTTCATAGAATAGAATGAGTACTGGAAAAGAAGACTTTTGGGAGTCATCATCTTGAATTCAATTTCTTCACCTATATTGTGTGAGGATTATAATTTCTTAAATTCTTTTTGGTTCTTGACAGTCTGTGAAGCCTAGAAAGGAAAATGTAAGAGGGTATAGACAGTGTGTTTTGCCTGACTATGATGGGGTTATTGTTAACCTTTCTGTCTTCTGTATCAGGAGAGAAACAAAAATGCAGCTCAGGAGCTGGCCACACTGCTGCTGTCCCTGCCAGCCCCTGCCAGTGTCCAGCAGCAGTCCAAGAGCCTTCTGGCTAGTCTTCATACCAGCCGCTCAGCCTATCACAGCCACAAGGTAACCACCCCTTTTGTAGAAATGGCAGTGGACCTGTTTTACTAACAGAGGGGATCAAGTAAGTTGACTTTTCATGTGTAAAAAAGGGAAAGTGATAGCAGAGAGGTGAGACCCACATAAATAAAAAGTTCTTCTTTTAGAAATAGTTAACACCACTCAAAATGAGATAAGCCAGTTTGTACCCATTTTTCCTGTCATTTTAATAGGATCCATAAAATCGCCCTTAAGACATAGTTTAGAGGTGGTTTCTTACTGAAAAAAGTGAAGTGAGAGAATCATTTAAGAAGTCAGAACTGCTACTGAGTTTACTTCTCCAATATTGGCATGACAATAACAGTATTTTTGAGGAAGTTTTGAATGGTTGAGAGAAAACCTCTGAAAGGGAAATCTAGGGTGTGTTAGCTATAAAATAGTGTTAGCACTATAAAATAGTGTTAGCAGATGACAAGTTGGGCCAGTTCCATAGATAATAAAGAGGGTTCAGACCTAGGGAGCAGAGGGACTCTGGAAGGAGCCATCGGCACAGGTGCCTTGTTTGCTTTTGTGCCGCAAACCCAGAGACCTGAGAGGGAGCAGTTTAACCTGCTGAACTGCTCAAGGAAAGGTGATTATACAGTCTTTGGAGACTTTGTCCCAGGTAGTTTGTGGTAATGAATCTGTTCTTTTGAGAGGAGTTAAAAGTCTTTACAACTGCCATCTTTCCTCTACTCTGCTTTACTAACTGGCTTTTGGTTGATCCTCCGTGGTCTTCTTTTTTAGGATCAGGCCTTGCTTAGCAAAGCTGTGCAGTGTCTCAACACATCCAGCAAAGAAGGCAAGGACTTGGACCCTGAGGTGTTCCAGAGACTGGTGATCACAGCTCGCTCTATTGCCATCATGCGCCCTAACAACCTTGTCCACTTTACGGAGTCAAAGCTGCCCCAGATGGAAACAGGTGAACTTGGCTGAAGTGGCTGTGATCCTGAGATCTGCTTAACACATCTACTTACCCTCTCATCCTCTTGTTCTCACTGGCCACTGACTGACTTCCTGCTCTGAGACAGAGACTTTTACTCTTTGGTCCTTGTACCTTGTAGGTATTAACATTACACCATATTAAATATATATCCTTTTTGGTGTTTATCTTTCATTATTCTTGAGTTTATTTCACATTTGGATATCAGATTTACTGTGTCTGAAGCTGCTGCCTCTTCTGATTTCCAGGGTAAAGCTAAGCCCGGTCCTTGGTTGCTTTTATATAATACAATCTTGCATGCAATCCCCCCCCCGTATTATTATGTGCAGTGGGCTTTCTCAAGTCTTGATTCAGTTTCTTCATCTTTTCTCTTGCTGGCTGGTTATCAAACTTATCATTATCAAATACAGTTTATTGATGTGTTTTTAAACTCTGTTTTTACGTGCTCCTCTAAGTCCAGCATCATCCTGTTTCTTCTGATACTACAGTCTAGGAAACATTCTAGGAAGATCTCACATGTTTCTTTAGGTTTTAGAAATTGAACAGTTACAACTTAGATCTCTGAATCTGCTAAAAAGATCCTGAACCTTCCCCTTCTATTTAATCTAACATAAAATGTTTTCTTTGATATTCTTCCCAGATTGCTTTTTTCCTAGATGTGCCTGCTGGAGTCTAGGGATAGTTGGCATATTGACTGGGGCCCCACTTGAAACTCCCTCCCCAGGCAAGCGTCCTTGACCTGAGTTAACCTTTAGACAAATTAAATTCCACCTTAGATTTACCAACATTAATAATTTTCTCTCTCCTGCTTAGAAGGAGTGGATGAGGGAAAGGAACCTCAGAAGCAGTTGGAAGGAGATTGTTGTACCTTCATCACCCAGCTTGTTAACCACTTCTGGAAACTCCATGCATCCAAACCCAAGAATGCCTTTCTGGCACCTGCCTGCCTGCCAGGTAGCGTGTTACAATATAGCGAAAACATAGTGAAACAGGATATAAATTTTATTGTTAAACTATTATGACCTTCACCCTTCATCATCCATTTGTTCCAAAGTTAGTAATTAGGAAATAGAAATTTTGACATAGGAATGGTGGAGCATAGTTATAGAAAATTGATAACTTATTTATAAGGAGTTGAATATTTCATATGGTAGATATTTTGTGTGTATGTGTATGCTGTGTCTTTAAAGAAATCTTTGCTATCCCGTTGGTTCAAACTCACAGTAACTCCTTCTGGGTTTAGGAGCCTGTAAATCAGAAAGGGTAGAGATTGCCATCTTTCTCCCAAGGAATCATTGGTTGGTTTGAACTGCCAGAGATACTCAGCTTTTGGGTTAGCAGTTCAGTTCCCCGAACTCTTTGCCACCAGAACTCTCTGTGATGCAGCCTTCTGTATTTATAATTGTTAGAAAAAGGCTTTGAAAAAGCTGTTTCAAAGCTAGTTGAAAAAGTAAAATTAAGCATCATCCTTAAAAATGATTTTATTTCCAGGCTTCTTTGACATTAAAATGACATTTTTATATGAGATATGTAAAGTTTATGTGAAAGACTAAGGATCTGACTGGCAGTATGGAAAACCAGAATTATTTTTAAATTTTTTATTATTTTTTGTGTGTGTATCATCAAATCAGATCTGACTGGTACAGGAGGAGATTTCCCTTCCTTTTCCAGCAGAGCATCTGGTGGACTCATACCACGTACCTCTAGGATTGCAGTACGGCTTCTTGCCACTAGGCCACCAGAGCTCCCTTAGAATTATTCTTGTATTTATGTTTGCAGATTTCTTGGGCAGTAAGCCTAAAAAGCACATTTACCATCATGAAAGGTTTGGTAATAATACAGGATTTTTAAGTATCTGCCTACCTCAATGAAATAGCGCAACATAGCTGGAACAGTGGGCTCAAATGTATCAGAGAGGATGAGGTTGGCGCAGGATAGGGCAAGTTCAAGTCTGCTGTTCATAGAGTTGCTATGAGTCATAGTCGACTCTACAGCACCTAACAACAACCACTACCTCTTTACATTTCTCTGCCCAATCTTTTAATATCGGTAAAGGTGGATAACTCCTTATTTTTGTAGTATAGAACTTCTGAAAAGACTTTTGATCTCAGTTTGGGAGATGAGAATATAGTTAATAAAACAAATTAAAATTATGCTGTGTGTATTTTGCATGGTCATCTTCATCTGTGTACACTGTCATTTAGTGTTGCTATTATCTTGACCTTTGCAAGGGAATAAGAATTATACTTTTGTCTCAGACAATCAGCTAAGTAGAACTTATCACACTACATTTTCTTACAATAAATACTTTCTCCTTTTTTTCAGGCCTGACTCATATTGAAGCTACTGTCAATGCTCTAGTAGACATTATCCATGGATACTGTACTTGTGAGCTGGACTGCATTAACACAGCATCCAAGATCTATATGCAGATGCTCTTGTGTCCTGTAAGTATCATTATAATTTCAGTTGTCTCTTACATCCTAGGGATAACAAATTTCTCCATAGAGACTTTTTTTCTTTTTAGTGTGCTAAGCCAGTGAAATAAAATGGACTTAAGGTGATAGGAAATAAGTGTTTTGAGTATCAATAAAAGCTCTAGAGTGTTATTTATTCCTTAGAAGAGAAAGGCTTGAAAAGAAGATGAATTTTATAAAATATAATGCATTAGAATGAGTATATGAAACACACTATGAATGAAGGATAGTGTGAAACACAATGTATATGAACTTTGTAAGCAAACCAGTATAAAATATATATAAAAAAGATGATATATCTTGTTTGCTTCTGAATCCTCAGAGAATAGAACAGCACTTGCTACATAGTTAATATTCAGTAAAGGTTAATTAAATGAGTAATTAATTAAATGAATAAGTGTTAGGAGTTCTGGTTTTAATGCAGAATTAAGATCTCTGGGAGCCTGTTCATACAATGAAAAGCCAAAACATGGTTTTAGAGAGCCAAAAGTTATTTCAGGAACAAATACCTGCCAATCTATTACCAGGAACTAAGAAAAAAGTCTTAAGTATATCAAGTCAGAAAAATAAACAAAGTAAATGATTAATTTGGCCATCTGTGTTGCATTTGAGAATAGATCTTTTCCATATATACATGTGAATGATGGACCAGAAAGGAAAAGTGTTTTTATGAAATTTCGTGAATAATAGAAAACCCGAACGTGACAGCTTCCTTTTAACCTTAGGATCCTGCTGTGAGCTTCTCTTGTAAACAAGCTCTAATTCGAGTCCTAAGGCCACGGAACAAACGGAGACATGTGACATTGCCTTCCTCCCCTCGAAGCAACACTCCAATGGGTAATGTGAGGTCTGGGTTTAGACTTGTGTTTGTGTTTGCTGAGAAGGGGGGAGTGGGAGGTATAGGGTTAGGATATTCTGCTCATGTTGACCAAGGTCTGCAGACTCTTTTTTATCTATTATTTACCTTATAAATTACCTTTCTTATTCTCTAAAGAACTTAAGATATGTAAAAATGTACCTAGAAAGTAAAATAAAATAATATAGGTCATTAGTGAAAGAAAACAATGATTAACATCAGTACACAGAACATCTACCCTATAAGATTCTGTATGACTGATAAGAACTTATTTTTACCTGGATGCTTCCTAGAAGCCATAGCAAAACAAACAAAACAACAGTAACAACAGCAGAGAAGTACATAAATAAATAAAAATCACAGAGACCAAAGACAAAAACAGCTGCTTTTTGGAAAATCGTACTTTTGTAGGTCAAAAAGGTTTTGAGTTCAGGTCTATGTTGTTACAAAATGGACAGTGTAAATACTTAGAATAAATTTGATAGCAAATTTCATGACACTTTCCCTATAATATATATACTCAGACACAAGTCAAGAGCATAGCCTTTTGTATTTTAGGAGTGATTTTAAAGATATTTAAAGAATGCTTATTATGTAATTCTCTGGTTCTTGGCTTCATGAGGGGTAAATTTCAACTGTTTAGATATTACCCAATGGTAATATATCACATAATTTAAATCTTTGTGGTAGCCACATTATAGCAAATAAAAAATAGTTAAATAATAATATATATTAATATGTAAAATATATGAGTTAAGTAATATATATAATCTAATTTATAAAAATACTACTTCAATGTGTAGTCAAAATAAAAAGTTGTTAATGGAATATTTTTCCTTTTTTAATTTTTTTAATATTTTTTAAAATTTTTCCTTTTTTGTAGTAAATGTTCAAAATCTGTAATATATTGAATACTAATAGCACCTCTTAATATCAATTAACCACATTTCAAGTGCTGTGTGTCATGAGACAGTGCAAGACTAGTGGAATAGATACAATTTTGAATTTTTAGGCAGTCTTCCTTGAATGTGCTTTTAACAAAACTTTTGACAAATCAGGCAACAGTTTGTAGCTCTTTTCTCTGGCAAGAACATGAAGTGTAGATAGTTTATGTTTCCAATTAAAGTTATATTCAGATTCTTAAACAAATAGTCCATCAAATGGAAAATGGGATTTTCGTCCTCTTCTGACATTTTGGAGTCAAACTTGGACTTACTCTTTAGTACAAGACCTCCCATTTTCACACCGATGCGGGCCTAGGCAGGACCTATAGTGGTGTCCTCAGCTTCCGTCAGTGTTTTTTTTTAATTCCAGTTCTGCTTCTTGATAATGATTATGTGGTGTGAAAATCTCATAGGCCCTGTTGTTTTGGATAAAAGTAGTGAAATGACTCTCCAAGCTGTCATGACAGCTAAAAATATCAATGGTATTATTTTCCCTGTTTTGCCCAAGGTCTCCTGAGAGTTGGTGGGCCCTACTGGTCTTAGATTTCTCTGCTTTATGGAAATTCTCTTTGGATTCTAAGGTTGTGTTTTTTACTTCATCAGCTGCAAAAATCTTTTCCTAAGGCAGGGGGCAAGCTGTCACTGCCAACCCATTCTTCCCTGTTTCTGTAAGTTCCAGGAAACAAAAAAAGCAGGCCAGGCATAGCACCCTGGAATTTTACCTAAAATTTTATCTAAAGCACAGAGCACTAGTTGGTAGCTTGCTTGGATTTTTGTTTTGTGACATCTTATACCATGTGCCAGGGGAGGAAGAGCAAGCACCTTCAGGTGACTGGGGTTTCTTTGACTCAGGAGACAAGGACGATGATGATGATGATGACGCAGATGAGAAAATGCAGTCATCAGGGATCCCGAATGGTGGTCACATCCGTCAGGAAAGCCAGGAACAGAGTGAGGTGGACCATGGAGATTTTGAGATGGTGGTGAGTCTCTGGCAGCAGGAGAGGGGAGGAGGAGCCTCCTTACTCTCCTCTAGCTCTTATTCAGTGGACTTTGAAAAGCTACCATATACCATGGGACACTGACAGAGCTTTCTCTCTGTAGTCTGAGTCGATGGTCCTGGAGACAGCTGAAAATGTCAACAATGGCAACCCCTCTCCCCTGGAGGCCCTGCTGGCAGGTGCAGAGGGCTTCCCCCCCATGCTGGACATCCCGCCTGATGCAGATGACGAGACCATGGTTGAACTAGCCATTGCCCTGAGCCTGCAGCAGGACCAACAAGGTAGAAGGCTATGCCAGGAGTAATGTGGCGTTTTGGCCTTGCACAGGAAGAGGGTTTGGCAGTTAACTGATATCCAGCTGACAGAGCTTGTCCCCAGATTTGGGGAGAGGTTGATCTGGGTGAGAGCTGTTCAGAGATACAGGTGGAGAGTGAGAGGGATTGTGGTGGGTTTTTAGTCTCTGGGAACTAATCTAATTGCTTTTTAGTTGGTTTGTTGGACTATATTTTCCCAAATTGGCTAGATCCCTTCAGCCTGTGTCCTATCTGAGCAAAAGGAAGCAACCACCTTTTCTCTAACCAAACTTATTGGGTGGACAGCAACTTCCTCTAGATCAGAGTGTCTCACATGCTGGCTTTTAGTGACTTCTGAGGGTAACAGGTGGCCACAGCAGCGTTGTGAATGGGGTCTGGAGGGGATGTTGTGCTCACTCTCCACTTGTTTCCCAGGCAGCAGCAGCAGTGCCCTGGGCCTGCAGAGCCTGGGGCTGTCCGGCCAGGCACCCAGCTCTTCCTCTCTGGACGCAGGAACCCTCTCTGACACCACAGCATCAGGTAACTGTCCACAGCAAGGAGCACGGCTGAGGGCCCCAGGACCCTAAGACCTTGTTTCCAGTGCTGTGAGAGTGTAATGGGCAGCTGCTTTGACAGGCCATCCTGGATTTCCCGCTTCTGCCTTTGCTTTAGAACTATGGGTGTGGAAGGTTTCGCGGTACAGCTTGGCAAGGGCACTCATGGCTCCACTTCCTCACACTTTGCATGCTGCCTGGCTTCAGCTCATTCCCTGAGGAAAGGCCAAGAGAGCAGCTTGCAGGGCTTGATCAGCCATAGGGCTTCACTTTGAGCTCTTGGGTGGGAGTCTTTGCTGTAACATTGTAGACATTATTAAAAGAGAGACAAAATGAGGTCATACTTTTTTAACTTTTTGGTTCAGAATTCTTAGTCATTGTGTCCAACTATTATTAGGTATTTGTGAACTTGGGAAGTAGGATTTTTGTGGAAAATGAAAATTCATAGGAAATCTTTAAACTCTCAGTCTCTTCCTTAAGAGGGAATAAAATTACTGACTAGAGGGACTTGGATTGAATAGATGAAGATGAAACACCTGAATAAGACACTGAAAACCCCTGGGTAATTTCGGAGTTGATTACTAGTTTTTCAGGCTGATGCTTCCCTGCATTTATTTATTTTATTTATTTGTGTGTGTGTGTGTGTGTGTCTGTCTGTGTTTTGGGAATTTAACCCTGGATAGGTGAGGAAGGGGAGAAATTGGCTGTGTCTCTCACTTGCTGCCGTGCTTGTTTTTCTTAGGTTTCTTTAGTTGCTGTCATTTGGGTTTTGAAGTTGCTGTTGTGTTGTACAAATTGTGTTCCTCCTGTGCTGTGTGGCTGTCTTGGCTTTCCTCCCCCATGTATCTCATCCAGCATTTTCCTCCTGTCTCAGCTCAGCCCTGATCCTGGATGCTGTGGCTGTCTCTGGGGAATTTCCTTGCTTCATTATTAGCGTCTGATGAGGATGACTAGAAGGTGTGAAAAGAAACAAATGTGTACAGGCTTGATTTAAGAGCTCATAAGAAGTGGTTTTCTTACACAACAAATTGACTGATTTCAACACAGATCTCTTAAAAATCAGAATTCTATGCTTTGAATGGTATTTGGCTAGTGTCTGATCTCTCAGCAGGTGTCAGTACTACCTAGACAATGGTGACCGTGAAGCACTTTAGCTAGAAAACTTAGCATCTGTGTCACAGATTCTTATCAAGGCTCTGTACTGTTCTACTTGTCAGTGTAGTGTAACAGCGAAGGAAATGCCCAGTGAACTGGGTTTTTACTTCTAAGTACTGTTTGCAATGCACTGTGTATAGTGTTTGTTCCTATTAGTGATTAACCAGCAAAGCAAATCTCTCCCTTTCTTCTTTGACAACAGGATATTTAAACTGCATTGTGTTCTCTGTACTATGTGGTTTGATGCTTTCGCCTCAAGGAGGGGTTTTTACCTGTAACAGCTCTTGTTACTCTCTTAGCTCCAGCCTCAGATGACGAGGGCAGCACAGCAGCTACTGATGGTTCCACCCTGCGGACCTCTCCTGCTGACCATGGTGGTAGTGTGGGCTCGGAGAGCGGGGGAAGTGCTGTGGACTCAGTGGCTGGCGAGCACAGTGGTAATGTGGCTGGGCTCCGTGGTCTCCTTGTGGAGAGGGTGGGGCAAAAGAGGGATTCCTGCCTGGGGCCTGGATAGGTTTTAGCAGAGGGACATGTTGGGGACTTACTGTTTTATATTTCCTTGTGAATTACATTTGCCCTTGACCCTGGGGTTAGAGGTTCCACGTGAAGTTCAGTGATAAGATTTAAAGCTGAGTGGGGTTAATATTGAAGTATCTTACAGAGTAGCTTTTAATTATCTGTTAGTAGTAGAAAGCAGTGACTATATAGTCTCTAATCACAGTTAAAGCAATTTTTGATACAACGTTCAAACCCATCATCTTGTAGCTTTTGCCTTCTAAGGGGGAAGATATTTTTGGTTAAACTTACTATCTTATTGATGATATGTTAAGCTATTAGGTCATCCTCACAAGTATACTGACTGTTACAGTGGGTATTGAAATGAGGAAACAGTCATTTTGCCTTACCGTGTAAAGTCACTCTGGTTTAAAAATTAGATGTGACGTATTTTTATGTAGAAGATTAAGAGTAGTTAATATATGGCGGAGAGCAAAGGGGTAGGGAGAAAAGAATATCTGTTAGTTTTTAAGTTTTAAGTTACCGTATCACTAGAAATTTTCTGTGGAGTGTGAGCCAGTTTATTAGCAACTGAGAACAAGATTGCTGTAGGTAGATGTTAGATACTGTAAGGGTAACTTCATAATGTTGTAGAGTCATGTTTATGAATTTGATCACTATTTAGCTTCATATGGAGGGGAAAAAATTCTGCAGCTACTAGTTGTCTTGTGGCTGTTGAATTGAATGCTTTGGGTTCCATCACACGCTGAGAATTGATTTATGCTTTCAAATAATTTTTTCTCTAGTATCTGGCCGGAGCAGTGCTTATGGTGATGCCACAGCTGAGGGACATCCAGCTGGCCCAGGAAGTGTCAGCTCAAGCACTGGCGCCATCAGCACCACCACTGGGCACCAAGAGGGAGATGGCTCAGAGGGAGAAGGAGAAGGAGAAGCTGAAGGAGATGTCCACACTAGCAACAGGTCAGGATCTGTTCATACTTGAGAGGCTGTCCCACTGAGAATATTTTAGGAATAGTCGTGGGAAGTACAATAGTGAGAATTCCTGAAGCAGTTTAAAACTTAAGAAGTTTCCGAGGTTGGTCTTCTTTGTCCTTTTTAGAAGAAAAGAAGGCATTTTTTTTCTTTTCAGACTCCCCTAAATCTCTTAGTAGATACCGTTGTTGTTGAGTACCACAGAGTCAAAACCAACCCATAGCTGACCCTCTGGTGGGTTTTCAGAGGCAGTTAATCACACAGGAGGAAATTGCCCAACCTTCTCCCGTGGAGCGGCTGATGGTCTCAAACTGAGTGCCTTGGGAATTGTAGCTCAGCTTCATGCCACTAGGCTACCAGAGGTCTAGTAATTACTGATTATATTCTCTTCTTCCACTCTTTTTACTTTATCATTACATGTAAACTCATAATACCTTCTTTAAAAATGGCACTGTTCTAGTGGTAATTTTTAAATATTTAATGCATTTAGCTCCTCAGTTAGTGAAGGAGAAGAGAGCAAACCACATAACTTATGTGTAGAGATACCAGTGGTTGGGCATTTGACAAACTGAAAATAATCTATAAAATCTTAATCTGTTGCTTTAAGAAATCATGGTAGTTTTTGCTAGTGCATTGCGGAGTGAATGCATTTTTTTTACAGCTTTTAATAAGTAGTGTTTTACTCTATTTTCAGCAAAGTTCACAGCAAATCAGCCACGATTGACATATATACATCTAGTGAATGCATTCTTAACTAACAGATTTTAAAAAAATAGAAGTGGAGGAAGAAAAACCTAAGAATAACATTTGTGTCCAATTTGCTGAATGTGGTAAGGCCAGGAATTTGATATTAGTGCAGAAATAATTCATCAACATTTTGAAGTGAATGATTTCTGTCCAAACAAAAACTAAGCAAGTAGCAGACAAAAGTAAGATTTTACAGATTATTTCCAGTTTTCCAAATACTCCAGTATTGATAATAAGAGGGCATCAAAGAATGCCTTCTACTTCTCCTTTCCTATTGTGGAGGAGAGGTTGAGCTTTTCAGTAATAGAAAAGAATAATAGTTCAGTTGAAAATCCATATATAAATGGAATCTTGATCCATATCTTATACAGAGACCTTGTATCTTCTATAAAAACCAGCACTGTAGATCTAAGTGCAACTGTTAACACCAGAAAAATTTAGAAGACAGAATACCTTTATAATGGGTTGTGATGGTGGTGGTTTGTGATCGAGTTAGAATTCAAATTATAGCTGACTCTCCAGTGGGTGTTCAGAGGCAGTAAATCTCCTCAAGGAAATAAATTGTCCCTTTTTCTCCTGTGAAGAAGCTGGTGAATTTGAGCTGGTGAGTGCCTTTATGATTGCAGTGCAAGTTCTTACCACTGGGCCACCAGAACTCCCTTTTTAATGAGTTGTTGTTATTGTTATGTGCCATCGAGTCGACTGACTCATAGTGACTCTGTGAACAGTGGCTCTGTATCTTGCTTTATCCTGAGCCAACCTCACTGTCCCTGACACACCTGACCTCATTGCCACAGTCAGTGTCAGTCCATCTCATGTAAGGTCTGACCTCTCTTGTGCTGACCTTCCATCCTTTCAAGCATGATAGCCTTCTTCTCTAAGGACTGGACCTTCCTGAGAACATACCCAAAGTTTGTGAGATGGAGCTTCAAAATCTATGTCTCCAAGGAACAACTTGCTTTCACCGTCTCTTGTTCTCTTGGCAGTCTATAGTATATTGAATACTTTTCTCCAAAACCACAACTCAAAGGCATCAATTCTTCTGTCGTCTTTAGAATTTTCCATCTCTCTGATGCATAGCAAAAAATTGTGAAGACCATGGCTTGGATCAGATACACCTGAGTCTCTAGATTAACATCATTGCTCTTCACTCTGGAGAGGTCTCTGACAGATTTTCTTAATGTAAATCATCATTTGATTTCTTGACTTTTGGTGTCAAGGATGTGGAACCAAGCAAGCTGAAATTGTTAACAATCTCAATCTGCTCTCTATCATGGTGCTGCCAATCGGTCCAGTAGCGAGAATCTTTGTCTTCTTGATGTTGAGCTTTAATCCGTATTGAAGACTGCAGTCTTTGACCTTTAGCAAATGTTCAGGTCCTTCTCAGTTTTAGCAAGCAGGGTTGTGCCATATGTATAACACAGGTTGTTGATGAGTCTTCTTCCAATCCTGATGCCACATTCCTTTTCATAAAATCCACCCTCCCTAATGACTTGTTCTGCCTAAAGATTGATAAGGTATAAATAGAGGGCACATCCCTGATGCACCCTTTCCTTGATTTTGAACCAGGCAGTGTTTCCTTGCTTTGTTTTGAGGACTGCTTCCTGGTCCAAGTAGGTTTTGCATGAGCACAATCAAGTATTCTGGGATTCTCATTCTTCTTAAGGTTAACCACAATTTCTTGTGATCCACACAGTAAAATGCCTTTGTGTAGTCAAGAAAACACAGATAGACATTTCCTCTGGTACTCTCTGCTTTCTGACAAGATCCATCTGACATTGGCGTTGATGTCCCTAGTGCCAGGGCTTCTTCTTCTAAACCCAGTTTGTATTTCTCTGTTGATCTCCTGCTCACTATTTCTTAAATAGGATACAAAAAGTATTAAACATGAAGGAAGACTTAGGTAAAACAGACTGTCTTCTCACCAATTATTAATATTTTCTTCTCCTCCTCTGAGTATCAAGCTGATTTCTTGTAGTGTCCTGGGATAGAGGAGATGGTTTATTTCACTTTCTTTTTACACTGGGGAATATAGCCATTTGTGACTCTTTTTTGAGGTTCTTAGGTGAGGGTCTTATGGAAGACTTCTCCTACATGGGGCAGGTCCTGCACTTTATCGTCTAGACCGAATACCCCGTGAAGTCCAAGCTGGTGTTGCTTTCAGAGCATCTGTGCATATATATCTAAATTTGTGTGTGTAATCACATGTATATTTCTTGGTTGGTTTTATAGTTACTGGAAAATTATATATAAGACTTATTGAAATGAGCTTATGTATAAAATCATCCTTTTTTGATGTCCTTAGGATCTATAAAATTTCTGATGTTGGTATTTTTTCCCCTCCCCTCACTTTGAAAATCCCCCTTTTAAAAGTTAATTTTACAAAACAACTATGAGATACCATCTCACCCCGCTAAACAACAGCAAAATTCAACATAGCAGCAAATAACGAATGCTGCCAAGGTGTGGAGAAACTGGAACCCTTATTCACTGTTGGTGGAGTGTAAAATGGTGCAACCACTATGTAAAGCAGTATGATGCTTTCTCAAGAAGTTGGAAATAGAAATACCATTTGACCCAGCAATTCCACTACTGGGATTATACCCTAAAGAAACCAGACTTGCCACCCAAGCAAATATAAGTACACCCATGTTTATTGCTGCTTTGTTCACAATAGCAAAGAGTTGGAAACAACCCAAGTTTCCATCCGCAAACGAATGGATAGAGAAGCTGTGGTATATTCACACAATGGAATATTAATGCAGCACTGAAAAGCAAAGAACTCATGAATTATTATACAAAACGGGTAATCATGGAGTATATTATGCAAAGTGAAATATCTCAGTCACAAAAAGACAAATGCTGTGTAATACCACTGTTATAAAACAGGACTGACGTGGGGGTTGAGGGGAAGGTAAGAAAGGAGGGGATAAATAAGGTATACAGCATTGAAACAGACGAGGGAGAGAACTATATAAAAGGAATATATGATTAGGTATTATTGGCGTGACAAGAATCCAGAGTAAAAGTTGCATAGTAAAATCGTCAGAGGGGGTGCCTGTATAATAATGAAAGAACTTTTTCCCCCCAAGAGAAAAATGAACCAGGGGATAGAAGAGGGGGCTAAGGAGGAAAATGTGCAACAATGAATGAATGGAAATCCAAGTTCTTTATATAAACTTTCATTAAAATCTCAATTTTATTAAGGGAGCTCTGGTGGCCTAGTGGCAAGAAGTAACTTCCCAAAGGCGCATGGTTCGAATCCACCAGATGCTCCACTGGAGAAGGAGGGTCAATCTCCTCCTGTGCCAGTTGGATCTGACTCGATTTAGTACACAAAAAGGAAAAATAAAAAGTGGATTTTATTAATCTTTACAAGGAAAAAGTGAATTTTATGAATCTTTATAAGAACTAACGTTTGGCTTGAATTTATTTATTTATTTATTTTTTGCCTAAGTGTAATAATTTATTTTGGAATAGTTTTGGTTTTGGCTTGAATTTTTATCTTTTGTATGTCCACTTTCTGTTTTATTTCCAGTCTTTTATTTCCTTCCTTTGTTTTCTTTTTGTACTTTGTATTATTTCTCTGACTGCCTGAGGTAGAAGCTTATATCATTAATTTTAAACCTTTCTTCTTTGTAACAGACATTTTAAGTTGCACATTTGTCCTTAAACCCACCTTTGGCTGCTCTCTACAGGTTTTGATATGTTTTATTTATTTTGGTTTTAGTTCAACACATATTATAAATTCTGTTGCAGTTAGTCTGACTAATGAGATATTTAGATAATAGGCTGCTAAATTTCTAAACATTTGGAGATTTTTGTAGTTCTCTTTTTGGGATTGAGTTCTAGTTTAATTTCTTTGTAGTTGGAGAATATGCTATGTATTTTCAATACTTTAAAATTTTAGTCCTTTAAAATTTGTTGAGATTCATTATTGTTTCTAAAAAGAATATTTTGGCATATTTTTAAAAAATTTTGTTAGTTCTTACTCCTATCCTATTATGGAAGTATTACACAAAGTTACTGTACAATATAGAATTAATTGGTCAGCATTCAAGTATTTTAGAAAGCAGGCTATGCTCGAGAATCATTGTACTAAAGGAGGATGTCTAGTCTGCACTGAAGTCCTTGATCAAAAACAAGACTCCAGAAACTGATAGAATACCAGTTGAGATGTTTTAGCAAACAAAGTCAACATTGAAAGGCTCAATTGTCTATAATAAGAATTTGGGAGATAGCTGGCTGGTTAACCTACTGGAGATCTTTATTTGTGTTCATTCCAAAGATAGATAATCCAGTAGAACATGGAAATTCATAAATAGTTTTATCATATGCAGGGAAATTTTGCTCTTTTATTTGCTGTAGAACATTACTGAGGAACTGCCAGAAATTCAAGCCATATTGAGCAGAAGATGTGGATATCAAATGGATCTTGGTTGAAAGCGGAGAATACCAGAAAGATAGTTACATGTGTTTTATTGACTGTGCAAAGGCCTTGAGGATGGATCACATTGTGAAGAACGGGAATACAAAAGCCTTTATTGTGCCCATGTAGAACTTGTACGTAGATCAAGAGGAAGTCTTTTAACTAAAACAAGGAAATACTGTGCGATTTGATATTAAAAATTTGTCCAGGTGGTATTCTTCTCCTTATTTAGTCTCTGGCAGTTACTATAGGAAGCTGGACTGTGTAGAAAGACTACTTTGGGCAAGCTCTGGTGGCCTACTGGCAAGAAGCTGCACTGCAGTCCCAGGGCTGTGCAGTTCAAATCCACCAGATGCTCTGTTGGAGAAGGAGGAACAATCTCCTCCTGTACCAGTCAGAGCTGATTTGACGGTACACGCACACACACAAAATTAAAAAAAAATAATTTTTTTTTTTTTTTAAAAAAGACGACTTTGGACTTCAGGATTGACTTTTTAACAACCTGTGAGGCAGATAATACAGTCTTGCTTGCTAAAAAGTAAAAAGAACTTGAAGTACTGATGGAGATTAAAGACCGTTCCTTCAGTTTGGATTACACATGAATATAATGAAATCTTTGTGAAAGCAAAATCTTCAGTAAGAAACATCATGATAGAGACAGTCATTGTAGTTGTGAAAGATTTTTCTTTGGCTTCACAATCAGTGTCTAGGGGAAACAATTCAAGAAATCAGACGTCATATTACATTGGACAAATCTGGTGCAAAAGATGTCTCTAAAGTGTTAAAAAAAGCAAAGATGTCACTTAGAGGCCAGAGGTGAACTGGCCCAAGCTATGGTGTTTTCAGTGGCCTCACATACATGTGGAAGGAAGGCTAAAGAATAATCAGCAATGATTTTGAATTCTGGTGTTGGTGAGGAACAGCATGAGTTGCTAGAATGAACAAACATGTCTTGGAAGAAGTGTGAGCAGAATGCTTCTTAAAAATGCGCATGGCAGGACTTTATGTCACAAGAAGTCCCTGGAGATCCCACATTTTCTAAAGTTGAGGGTCATAAAAAAGAGAAGACCTTCCCTTATACATAACATCTTTTTCCTCACTAAAATTAATACATATCTAACTTTCTATTTACTCACTTTCTCTTCTGCTTCTATCCCTGGTAACCATAAACAAAAGTTTGTGTGTAGCCCTTTTCTTGGCCTTTATTAATAATATAGTAGGTTTTCTTTCAGTTTGATCACTTTTAATTTGGAATAGTCTTGCTTTTTTATAGAATGAAATTCTCCCTTCTCTGATGGAAGTATATCAAATAAGTGTTTCTTAATGTTTTTCTGAATGCTAATATTACTCCACAGGGGCAGGCTCCTTGTTTGCCCTGGTGGTAGGAGAAGAGAGCTATATTTAGTTAGTATGTGGCTAGTAGCTCATGCTCAATATGTTTTCCTTGGCTTATAGGTTACACATGGTCCGTTTGATGCTGTTGGAGAGACTACTGCAAACACTGCCCCAGTTGCGAAATGTTGGAGGTGTCCGGGCCATCCCATACATGCAGGTATGTGACCCTGTGAACAACAGATCTGAACCCTGCCCTACCCTGCACCATCTTCACAGTACCTGACACACTCGAGCCCCTTGCTGCTGTCACTATTAATCCACCTGGTTGAAAGTCTTCTGTTACTGCTGCTTGTTTGCACTAGACCAGGAGCTTTGAGCAAGGCCTGGCAGCAGTCAGAGGGTTGGGGGTTGTGCCTGAGGAAGATGGCGCAAGCAAGGTCTAAAGTACTTTCTTCTGTTGCTTCTGTCATAGAATAATAGAATGCAGTTTTGAACTGCAAGTCATGGCCCTGCTGAGGACCAGAGAATTTAAGAAAAATGCCTAAGGTCACTCAGCTAGTTATTGATCGAGCCAAGCACAAAAGTCTGTTCCTGATTCTTAGTCTATGTAGTGTCTCTCTCTATGTATAGATTAAGTTCTGGATGCTGTTCCTCTACTGTTGCCTTTCTAGGCATGACTCTTCCTTAATTCTTAGTTTAGTGTACTGCTCTATCTCAAGTGAGTTTGATGGAATAGAATACTGTTGCCTTTCTAGGCATGACTCTTCCTTAATTCTTAGTTTAGTGTACTGCTCTATCTCAAGTGCGTTTGATGGAATAGAATGTAGACCAGTCAATTTTGAATATTTTTTTCCTGATGTCAACTGTGGCATGGTTCAAAATTGGGCTCTTCTGAATTTGGACACTTAAAGTTCTGATAACCTAGACTTTCCAATGATTATAGTTATTATTAACAGAGAAGTCAAGGAAATTGGGATTTCTTCTGAAACACTCTGTATTTAAAGTTGTTCTTCAGGAAATTGGCCTTTATGTTTTCCTTCTCGTCTTCAAGGTCATTCTGATGCTCACTACAGATCTGGATGGAGAAGATGAGAAGGACAAGGGAGCCCTGGACAACCTGTTGTCCCAACTTATTGCAGAACTGGGCATGGATAAAAAGGTAATTTGAGCACCACAGTTCTGTGAGGACCAAGCATTGGCTGAGTTAATATATCAGCTTTTCATTCCTCTGCTGGAGGATCTTAACTTAGTTTTAGGGGCAAACATCTGTTCATGGCCTCATTTTTATTGATTCAATTAAAATATCTCTAGTGCTTACTTTGCCCCTGACATAAATTTGGATCTGGGCATTAAAATTTCCACCTTTGTGGACCTTTTTGTAGTTACATGTTACACAGGTGCAAATATCAAACTCACTATTTGCATCTTAGTATGGCCTACTAAGTATATCAAGCTGTAGGTAACTCAGCTATAGGCCACAGGTACAATGGAGCCCCTCCTTGTCTCTGATCCTATCAGAGGAATATTTAGGATATGTAGGCTTGAAGGAGTGGCTTAGGGGATACCTCAAGCTTAAGTGTTGTCTTCTGGACTGTTTCTTCTGCTTGTAGGATGTCTCCAAGAAGAATGAGCGCAGCGCCCTGAATGAGGTCCATCTGGTAGTAATGAGACTTCTAAGTGTCTTCATGTCTCGGACCAAATCTGGATCCAAGTCATCTATATGTGAGGTATTTTTGGTTTGAGCTTATGGATTTTTGGAAAAATAAGAGGATTGTCTGGTTAGTACTGAGGGTACAGGGCAAAGGGCAGAGGTGATAGTCCTCTGATGGATAAGACCATTGTCGCCTGAGAGGAGTAAGATTCTAAGCTGGTGTCTCTGTCAAGAGCAGAGCCTCCACCTTTTTCAGAATCCCTTCCAAGCCTTGATCTTTGCCAACAATCCCTCCAATGGAGGGGTTAAAGGGGTTTGAAGTTCCATTATTGAAAAGCTGGGGACTGTTCTGCAAGGCACAGAGTAGCTAAGAGGATTCTCCTACTATACGTTGCTATAAGGTATGGTAATAAAGCAGAGAGAAAGCAGTGTGTGCGTGGTGGAAAGGAGATTAACACAAAGCAGAGAAGGTAGAAATTGAGGCTGAACTGCATCCAATTTTAATGAGCTTATGAGCTGTGGGGTTTGCTGGGATTTGCAAGGCTCTCTAATGGTTTTATTTACAGTAGCTTTTCTCCTACTTTTTTATTCATGTGATCACTTACCACCCCCTCCTTTAGAAGCTGGTTCTGAGGAAGAGCCCCTGCTGGGAGGGTGGGGTTCCTAAGAAGTTCCTCAATGGAAAGTTTTCTCTCTCCTTTTTGAAATGGACTTCTTCACTGGACCAAGGCAAAAAGAAAACCTGCTCCCAGAGGGAAAGGTTAAATAATCCTTGCTGCTTTGGCCTCTGGCACATGTGCATATGGAGATTAGAGTTGACAACTGATTTTGTTTTGTTTTAGGTTTTTTCTCACTATGTTGGAGAACTATTTGAATTAGTTGGAAAACTCTTTAACTCTGGAAGCTCATTCACTTTCGTAACAGCTAATTCTTGATTTTAAGATTGTTATGAGTGTATTTCCAATCCTGTAATACCCAATGGAATGTTACACAGTTTTTACAAGCTCTTCTTACTTTCTTTTTTCATCCAAATGCTTTTTCTTCTTTTTAGTCTTCTTCCCTCATCTCCAGTGCCACAGCAGCAGCCCTGCTGAGCTCTGGGGCTGTGGACTACTGCTTGCATGTGCTCAAGTCCCTCTTGGAGTACTGGAAGAGCCAACAGAATGATGAGGAGCCTGTGGCTACCAGCCAGCTGCTGAAACCACATACTACTTCATCCCCACCTGACATGAGCCCATTCTTTCTCCGCCAGTATGTGAAGGTGAGGCCTTTCCCTTGTCAAAGGACCATCTTATCCAGTGCATTCTCCTCGTTAATCTTACTGAGTAAAGGTAAAGAACTTGCAGGAAGGAACTGACTTTCCTTGTTGGGCTTTATCCTTAAAATGATTTAATAAATGAACACTTCGGCCAACTCTGTACTGAGACTTTGTTTGTAAGCCTGAAAAATTGAAAGTAATTAAAAACAAACCCAAAAACCCCCTCCACCAAAAACCAAACAGAAACCACAACCAATCACAGAAGCAAAGAAAGTAATCAGACATGAAGAAAATTTGTAAGATAACTTTGTAAGAAGTATGGTATGCCAGGTAATTGCTCCTGCTGTCATGATAGACTCTTAACATGCTAGTTAGGAAGATGGGCTTTCTGATCAGCTAAGTTTGGTACTGCGTCCAGCCTGTATATCTACTTAACTAGCCATGAACCTTGGAGGAGTTCAGTTTAACCTTGTTTAACCTCAGTTTTTACACTTGGAAGATATGGTTACAGGTGCTTTATTAGAGTTATTTATTGTGAATTTTTTCAGGATATTGTGAAGTTCATTATGAGGTGATGTTTGTAAAGGACTAAATCTATTGCCTAACATATAACAGTAATATTAATTATCATTTCTTCTCTCTTTGCATCTCAAAGTGAGCTAGATAGACTGACTTGCTTTGTTTCTTATGGCTTGTCCCCCTTCCCTCACCCTCTCAAAAGTAGTAAGACTTGTTTCCATGATAACCTCTGTGTGATTAGATTGTCCCTAGGAGCTTGGGACCTTGCTGGGTTTATAAACTATACTCCCATTGATGGCTCCTGCTTTGAAAGGCACTATTTACTGACTCTAACATATAATATATCTAATAAACAGTAAACTAGACATTCACCTAATTGTGATTCTCATACAAATGCTCTTTGCCCAGGGTCATGCTGCAGATGTATTTGAGGCCTATACACAACTTTTAACAGAGATGGTACTGAGGCTTCCATACCAAATCAAAAAGATCGCTGACACCAATTCTCGAATCCCTCCGCCTGTCTTTGACCACTCATGGTTTTATTTTCTCTCTGAGGTAAGTGATGATCCCAACTAAAGTGCCAGTCAAGGAGGGGGACATTGCCATGACAGTCTTGAGGATTTGCTCTTTTCTAATTCTTGTTCTATATTTACCTAGCGGAGTCCCCCCTACTCTTTAGGCCCTGCCTTTCTGGAATATATTAAAAGTGGAACTATGGAAGGTGACTATGAGAGCAAGCTGTGTGCTTTAGTTACTGATTCAGTATATTTAACTCTACACATGTGGTGATGATGGAAATGTAATAATTTGCAGCTTTCAGAAAACAGAAGCTACATTAAATCTTAACAGAAAGATCTTAATTAGGGAATTGGCTAAATAGGTATTAGAGAAATGGAAAGAGGTGGAGATTTGAGGTAATATAGAAGTATTCTCTACAAAGAGCAGTGAAATGATGTACAAAGAGGAGGTGGTGTGTGGACCAGTGAATCAGAACCAACTCATAGTTGACTCTCCAGTGGATTTTTAGAGGCAGTTAATTGGATGGGAAGCGATTGCAGAGCAGCTAGTGGATTCAGTGTGCTTTTGGTTTGGCGGTGCACCTCCTTATCACTAAGCCACCAGAACTCCCTATAAAGAGAGCTCTAGTAAATCTGGGACTTAAGTGTCAAGGAGATGTGGAAGAGGTGCTGCTGGCATCGCAGGACCTCTAAGGGAATGAGATACAGCTGACTCTGGGTGTATTGAAAGAAGCTAATGATGAAAACCTGCCAGGATGAAAGGCTGTTGCCGGGCTCGCAGGCGTATTGTTGTTATGTACCATCAAGTACTCATTGAACCACAGACCTGACTCTTGCCCATCTTGTGCCATCCTCACCATCTCTTACATGCTCAAGCCTGTTGTTATGGTCACTGTGTCAGTCCATCCTGCTGGGGGCCTCCTGTCTTTCTTTGATGCTCCATCTTTCGAAGCATGATGTCTATTTCCAAGGACTGCCTTCCCCTGACAATACGCCCAAAGCATGCGAGAAGTTTCACCATTCTTACCTCTGAGGAGCACCCTGGTTGTATTTCCAGGTTGGGTTTACAAACCCAACAGACATATAGGAAAGAACAATTGTTTTCTCCTCCCTTCGAGTTTCCCTCTAGTGCCCCCTAATAGAGACCTAGCTGGCAAAGTAGCAGTGCTGGGCATCACAGAGCAGAGTAAGGGAAGGGGTAGGTTTAGTCATTCGAGCCAAGAGCCAGTAGCTTAATATTCACACAGCTTATGGTCAACTCTGGGAAGAAAATAGAAACCCTCAAATGACCATTTTTAGTGAAAGAGCTGTACTAACCCAACCTCTTCTCTCGCTCCTTTTCCTGAAAAAAATTCTGAATTGTTGTTTTCCTTATAGCTTCACTTTGGGCTGTTGAGTGAAATCTTAGATTTCTAAGCTCTCAAAAGAAGGGAAGCATAAATGTTACTGCTTCTTCTCTCTGACTCTAATTCTTAGGCTTTTCTTTTTCCTGATGCCTTTAAGAAATACTTAAGTTCACCAGAGGCTTGCTGGGTAGGAGGCAATAGTTTGTCAGATTGTGTTTTCACCAATTATAGCAACAAAAACCCAGGTTGCAAGAACCAGGACTTGTAGAGAAGTAGTCCCAGGGTCATTTTATCATTTGTGTTGTTTTTCTCTGAAGTACCTGATGATCCAGCAGACTCCGTTTGTACGTCGACAAGTTCGCAAACTTCTGCTCTTCATCTGTGGATCAAAGGAGAAGTATCGCCAGCTCCGGGATTTGCACACCCTGGATTCCCACGTGCGGGGAATCAAGAAGCTGCTAGAAGAGCAGGGGATATTCCTCCGGGCAAGTGTGGTCACAGCCAGCTCAGGCTCCGCCTTGCAGTATGATACACTCATCAGCCTGGTACGAGGGGGCAGGGAGAGGGCATGTGATAAGACTTAGCCAAGTAGGTAGTAATAGTTTGGAGCAATACAGAGCTCCATAGATAGAGAACATTAGGACTTGGGTGAGATCAGAGTAAATACAGAAGGCCTCACTAGGTGCTGTGCCATGTAGTTGGCTTCGGGGTCTGGAATGTCTCCCTCACGTCTGCCTGGCAGTGGTTCTTCTATTGTGAGATGGCTTGAGACTTTATTTCTTAATCAGTATCATTTTCAGCAGCTCATATCCTGGGAAGGAACAACCTAAACTTTGTATGTCTCTGAATTTTGCTCTGAATAACTAAAGGAAGGATGGAGGGTGGTGTATAAAGCTATGTCATTGCCTAAAGGGAAACTGGACGTAAGGGCTAAATTGAATATGTTGCATATGAGTATTGAAAAAGAACATCCTCAGTATTCGTGACTCGTTGCTTGATTGTCTAGTAGCGTGTTCCTGCATAAAATAGGTAATATGGAGGTAACACAAAGGTAAAACAAAACCCCTTGTGGTTGAGTCCAGTCCATAGTGACCTTCCATTGGGTTTCTGGGACTGTACATCTTTCCTAGAGGAGATTGCCTGTTTCCCGTGGAGCGACTGATAGGATCAGATCACTGACTGGTTAGCAGATTGACATGCTAACTACTGCACTACCTGGGTTCCTTCAACATAGAGACAGTGACTGTAAAAAGCAGTGACCAGCAGCTCTGCATCCAAAGAAGAAAGGCATGGTGATCTGGGACATAGATTTCTCAGGAGGAGCTGCAGAGGAAATAGGGAAAAACTCAGCTAAAAGTAATGACTGTGGGTCTTGATCACCCTAACTTTTCGGGGGACATTTGCCTTTGCACATTGATTTAGTCTGCAATTCAAAGCTAGAGTGATGACCAGTCATGGTAGCAGATGTGCTGGATGTTTGGGCTGATTTTTCATGGGAGTTGCTTCAGGTGGTTGGTTTCTTTTCCAGATGGAACATCTCAAAGCCTGTGCTGAGATTGCTGCCCAGAGAACCATCAACTGGCAGAAATTCTGCATCAAAGACGACTGTAAGCAGTGCTTTTCTTTTGTGATCATTCATTCTTTCAAGAGAAATGAAGGAATTTATTGAGGCCTACCTGCTGTGTGCCAAGCACTGAGTGGGATATTGGAGCTATAACTACAAGCAAAATATAGTTAGAAATTCTGCCTCGCAAAGAAGACATATAGAAAGCTAAGATTAATAAAGGCCAACAGCCAATATTTGCGTTGCTGTGAGAGCTCAAAGTAGGAATAGGTGGTCTCCCAGGTGGCATGGTATTTTAGCCACTGTCAAGGAATGGAAGGAGCACTGTTTTTTACAGAGAACAGCCTCTGTTAAACTGGGAGAACCTGATGGCTCAGGAATGCAAAGATGTATACTATAACTGGGGAGAGCAAGCTCAGTGGGAAGAGAAAGATGAAGACACTTTCTGACAGGCCTTTTAAGGCTTTTGGATTTAAAAGGCTCATGCATTGAAGAGGGGCTAAGATGGGGTAATAAGGCTTGAGAGAAATATATGGATTCTATTGAATGATCTGACTTGGTTTCAGTCTTTATATAGACTTAATACTTTCCAGATACTTCCACAGAGAGTGTAAATTCTCCGTAACATCTAGCAGAGAGAACTTGGGAAAAGAAAGTGGAGGAAATAGGGCAGGCTTGACTGGGTGGAAAAACTGTTCCTCTTCTATACAAGTGCAGTTACAGTACCGTGTAGGCTGAGCATCATCTTCTCTGCTTCCAGCCGTGCTGTACTTCCTCCTCCAAGTCAGTTTCCTGGTGGACGAGGGGGTATCTCCAGTGCTGCTGCAGCTGCTCTCCTGTGCTCTTTGTGGGAGCAAAGTGTTGGCTGCCCTGGCTGCCTCTAGTAGCTCCTCCAGCACTTCTTCCTCCTCGGCCCCTGTGGCTTCCAGTTCTGGACAAGCCACAACTCAGTCTAAGTCGTCCACTAAAAAGAGCAAGAAAGAAGAAAAGGAAAAGGAGAAAGAGGGTAAGAGCAATGCTCTTCTTTTGGTGTCTAGGCTAATGTGGTTTAATGGACCATATTGGAACTCATGATTTAATCTTTATAAAGGTCTTTTATCCTGACTTCAGATTGCCTAAAACCTAAATGCTTTCTTTTAGTTTCATATTCAGGCATGTTTTAGATGTCACCTAAAACAATGTGACTGTGTCTACCCAGGGATATTAAAAGTCAAAGTGTACTGAACAATATGGGGACTTGATCTTTTTAGTAGACCATTATATTTGAATTGAACCTTCTCTTAGTAAAACATTAATACTTTCTTTAATTCATTAATTTCATTAATACTTTTCCAATTTCTGTGGAATGGTTTTCAGAGTTAAGACAAAATGCTGCTTATGCATGTGTCTTATAGACGGCTCCATAGATGTAAGCTGTTTTAAACTTTACCATCAGAAAAGCAAAAGGCTTCTACTTTACGGCTTTTTATGGCTCTCAGAAGCCTGAGTGATGATCAGGCATTGAGAGCAGCATAGGTAGTTCATGTCCCCCAGTTAATTATTCACATATTTCTGTGCATATGTAAATAGGTTTTTACAGGAAACTTTTGAAAGGAAGAATCTCTTCCATATAACTATATCTTACAGTGCCAGTCTTTTTTTCTCCTTCCATTTTTAAAAAAATTTTATTAATTTTAATGAAAGTTTACAGAGACTTTGGACTTCATTCATCGTTGCACCTTTCTCCCTGTCCACCCCTCTCCCCTCAGTGCCAGTCTTAAATAAATACTTTATCCTAGGATTTGTGTGTGTGTGTGTGTGTGTGTGTGTGTGTAGCTCTGGCGGTGCAATCTGTGGTGGTATGCTGCTAATCAAAAGGCTGCACATTTCTGGTGGTTCAGATCCACCAGTGGCTTCAAGGTGGAAAAATGCACTGACAGTCTTTTCCAGTTAAGTCTTAGAGCCTTGAAAACCCAATGGAGAGTCACTACTATCTAAATTGATTCAGTGGTGGTGAGTTTGGATTGGTTTTGAGACTTTATTTTATGTCTCACTTGGGGTTGACTTTTTTTTGTTCCCCAGTAAACAGCCATTTCGTTGGAACTCTTGGAAGTGGGCAAGTTAGTAGCACATGCCTTAGGACTCTAGACGACTTCTTTATGCTCTTCAGCCTTCACTTCTGCCCTTATCTTGCAGGTGAGGGCTCAGGCAGCCAAGAGGACCAGCTGTGCACCGCTCTGGTGAACCAATTGAACAAATTTGCAGATAAAGAAACTCTGATTCAGTTTCTGCGTTGCTTCCTGTTAGAGTCTAATTCTTCCTCAGTGCGCTGGCAGGCCCATTGCCTGACACTGCATATCTACAGGTATGGCTCAGAACTTGGTTTTGACAAGTCTGCATGGATCTAGGACAAGAATGGAGAATAGAATTGGTTTTGGTTTAATGCTCTGTGTTCAGTCACAGTGTCAGTGTTTACACCAGCCTGAATTGTCAATATTAATGATTTCTTTGAATTACATGATTTTTAGCTACTAAACTAGTGTTTGAAAGCAGAGTGGCATCCACTTTCTAAATAACATGCCTCCGGAAACACTATGAACTTTGATAAATGTTGATAGTTGTAGAGGGGCTTCAGGTCTTTTGTTCATAGGGTCGCTATGAGTCATTCTTGACTCGAAGGCAATCAACAACCACCACAAACTAATGTTACAGTCAAAAAATTTACCTCTTTATACTCTCAAAAGACTATGCTTAGAGGGAGCTCTGGTGGCCTAGTGGCAAGAAGCTGCACTGCAATCCCAGAGGCACGCAGTTCAAATCCACCAGATGCTCTGCTGGAAAAGGAGGGATGATCTCCTGTATGAGTCAGATCTGATTTGATGGTACACGCACGCAAAATAATAAAAAATAAAATAAAAAAACCCCACTAAAACACTATTCTAAATAAAAAAAAAAAAGACTATGCTTACACATTTGTAAAATTACCAGACTTGATTCTTTAAGGTAAAAATCTTCATTTCAGTCCTTAAGGAATATTGAATGATGGCAATACACTGTTTCCCAAAGACATTAAATGATTTTACCACATCTATTAGGATAGTTGTCAAACTAGCAATGATTCAGACCTGGTTCGTAATTATAAGGAAATACACCTGCCACTTGGTAATATGAACTGTTATGTATCTATAGAAATTCCAGCAAATCTCAACAGGAGCTCCTGCTAGATCTGATGTGGTCTATATGGCCAGAACTCCCAGCATATGGTCGGAAGGCTGCCCAGTTTGTGGACCTACTAGGATATTTCTCCTTGAAAACTCCACAAACGGAGAAGAAGGTAACATTTGATATATGATTTAAAAGGGTAATTTGCATTGTTTAACTTTTTTTCTTGAACATTGTGATCAACACATGTAGGAAATCAACATGTAAGATCTTTTAAATATAGCTAGTTTTCATTATGGAGCTCTGGTGGCTCTGTGGTAAGAAATTGCAATGCCAAAGCAAAGTAAATGTGGTTTTAACCTACCAGCTGTTCTGAGAGAGGGGATGGACAGTCTCCTCCTGTGTGATTTACTGCCTCTGAAAACTCACTGAAGGGTCAGCTATGGGTTGATTTAGATTGATAGTACACAACAAGTTTTCATTAAACATCACACACACACGGCTGTGGGTTGATTTAGATTGATAGTACACAACAAGTTTTCATTAAACATCACACACACACGGCTGTGGGTTGATTTAGATTGATAGTACACAACAAGTTTTCATTAAACATCACACACACACACACGTGCGTGCATGCACACACACTCTCTCTCTCTCCGCTAGCAGGAATTGTCTGATTTCAGCTTAGCCAGTTGAAGTGGGTAAAGTCAAGTTGCTTGGGAAAGAAAGTGTCCTTAGGTTTTGTGGGTGGCCCTGATTGCACACCCTCAATGGGTTTTTGCACTTAGAATCATTTCCTGACTTCTCCCTAAGAATGAAAAATTGTTGTCTTCTACAAAGCCTGAAAAGGTAGTCTGACATTAAGATCATGGAAAATTCTAAAGGATATTGAATCTACTAAGCATTTATGAGTTAGCCCCAACTTTTTATGAATCTGAAGATTAGCAGAGAAGTTTGAGGTTAGTAAGCCAGTTTCCAGCTGGCAACAAAGTCTTTTTTACTAGGACTTTTCCTTGTTTTTAACTGTTTCTTTATGGAATTCTATTTCAGTTAAAGGAGTATTCACAGAAGGCTGTGGAGATTCTGCGAACTCAAAACCATATACTTACAAACCATCCTAACTCCAACATTTATAAGTGAGCCTTGTTTTGCTTTCTCTATTTCAAGCTCAATTAACAATCTGAGTTACTCTTTGTGTGCTGGTAGCTTCAGGACAGCTCAGATATAGGAGTGCTAGAATGTTGAATAATTGAAAATTCCTTCCTGTGGCTTCTAACTCTTACTGGCACTTCTCACTTTACCTTGTGTTTTCCTTGGATAGGACTGACTTTAGAGCTATCAAGCCATGGCTTTTTATTTATTTATTTTAAATCATGGCTTTTTCATGACTGATTTGTGAAACTCATTTGTTCCTAAATGAAAATTTTCTTATGCTGTGTCTGGTTTCTTCCTTAGCACCTTGTCTGGCCTAGTGGAGTTTGATGGCTATTACTTGGAGAGTGATCCCTGCCTGGTGTGTAATAATCCAGAAGTGCCCTTTTGTGTAAGTAGCCTGTCTTGAATATGGACAAGCTTGGCTTAAAGTCCAATGGGTTTCTTGTTCCTGTAGACTGATAGTTACAACATAGGTGCTCTATCTTTTTGTTAGGTCACCAATAATGTGAGTCCTTGCCTGCTACATTTGTTATCTTAAATAGAAACTTTAGCCATAGGGGAAGAGTGGCTTACATTGATGAATTTTGAAGAAGGCAGGATGAGTGGTTAGCCTCAACTGATACAGTGATTTTGTGTATACTCTTGTGTTTAGTACATCAAGCTGTCTTCCATCAAAGTGGATACGCGATATACCACCACCCAGCAAGTTGTGAAGCTCATTGGCAGTCACACCATCAGCAAAGTGACAGTGAAAATTGGGGACCTGAAACGCACCAAGATGGTGCGGACTATCAACCTGTATTATAACAACCGAACTGTGCAGGCCATCGTGGAGCTGAAAAACAAGTATGGGTTTTTCAGACTTGGGGAGGGCAGTGTGTTTATAAGGTCCAACACTAAATTCTGGAATTGGGGAAAGCAATCTAGTGTGCCCTCATACTCTCTTCAGTCATAAGTAAAGAGAATTGTCTAGTTTTATACAGACGTTGACTAAAGTTTTTTAAAATGATGTTTGTGGAATCCTAGGGTCTATGGAAATTTTTCAGCTGCGTGCCTGGGGCAGTGACGCTTAGTGAGGGGAGGGGATATTTTAGTTATCTGATGCTATCATAACAGAAAAACTGCCGGGGAGTGACTTTAACAGAAAAATGTATTATTTCACAGTTTAGGATACAGCTCTGAAATCAGGATGCTGACAGTAGAGGAAAACTTTTTTCCTTTGTCTCTTAGGGAAGATCCCTGTCTGTTTCCAGATTCTTTTCTTTGGATTCTTGGTGATCTTGGCATGCATCATCTGTTGTCCCCATCTCTGTTTTCTTGTTTACTTTGTCTTGTTCATCCTGCTCTTTTTAAGTCTTAGAAGTCTTAAAACACACCCTACATTAATACTGTCTTATTAACATAACAAAGTTAGAATTCACACCACATATATTTTGTGGGACACAATTAAATCCTTAACAGGAATTTTAGGGTTCCCACATCTGCTGTGACAAAGGCAGTTCTATTTTTATATAAGATCTTCTTTATTGGGAAGTAGCAGTAATTTCTTGGATTTAAGCAGCTGTTCTCTTGCTCACAGAACAGAAAGTATTCCTCAAGATGTTCCCTTAGTATGCTTTGCTTTTATTTCTGCATGATGCTGCCCTCCTCGATGTCAGCAGATAGGAGGGTTGTGTAGTCCTATGTATCTTAGTGTCTGAATCAGGGGATATTGTAGATGGCCAAGACAACACAATGAAGTGGCATTAGCATGGTTTATAGTGTTGACTTCTACAGAGATGGATCTCTTTTCATTGAAGTCCCAGGCTTTACTGTTGTACAGAGAAAACAGATAGATAGTGCTTGAAGATCAACAGTGCTGTTCTACACAGTAAGAGTGGAAATGTTCTTATTTTTCCAAGAGGCAGAATGAAGACAGAATATACCCTATCAACAAGTGGCTACTAGGAACGTTAAAGAAATTTAGAAATTTTTTCTTTTACTCTTGATAAGCAAGGTTACCTGGTAAATTGAAAGCAGGAGCTGCTCATTAGGGTAACTCATTTTCTCCAAAGGAGGTTGATTTTATTTTCTAGCATACAGAGTTAGCACAACTGCTGGTGAAGCCCTCAGATTCTGGAATAAATCTGTGTGACTTCAAATCCCAACTCTAGTTGTTAGTCATGCTACTTAGCTTCAATTTTCTCGGCTGTAAATTGGAGATAAGTCCATTTTTCTGGTGGTAGTGTAAAGCGTTATTCATGAGTTCATGTAAGGTGCAAGAATAGAGCCAAGCATATGAAGACCAAATAAATGTTCAGTCTAAATGTATAGGTTTATTCACTGCTGTCTAGTCAGTTCTGACTCATAGCAAGTCCATATCAAGTTTCCAAGACTGTAGATCTATGAGAGGGGACTCTCCATCTTTCTCCTTCAGATACCTTTCCTCTGAATATCTAACTCTCTTTGGCACTGTGTTCAAATCCAGTGGTATATCCCTTTGATACCTTTATCTCTCCAAGGTAGCTGTCACGTTGGGAACTTGTGGTAGTCATCAATTTTATTGCACCACTTGGGATAACAGACTTCAGTGTTACAGTCTTTGGGGATAATGCTTTTTCTTGCTAGTTCTGCTGTTTTCCCAGAATCACAAAAGTTATATAAGACCTAAAAATGCTTATTTATTCTAACCTTTTTTTATAGAGAAAAAGGAATAATACTTAGATTGTTATTCATTTGCCAAGTTTCTTTCTCTTAGAAAATAATTTCCTTAAAGGCAGTATGTAGGGAAGCCTTTCTTTTCATCTCATCAGGCTTTCATCATGGAGGTTAAATGAGAAGATCTTTGGCTTCTGCCTCTGCAACTAACATTGTCTCTCTCAGGCCTGCGCGTTGGCACAAAGCCAAGAAGGTTCAGCTCACTCCTGGACAGACAGAGGTGAAGATTGATCTGCCATTGCCCATAGTGGCCTCCAACTTGATGATTGAGTTTGCAGATTTCTATGAAAATTACCAGGCCTCCACAGAGACTCTGCAGTGCCCACGGTGTAGTGCCTCAGTACCTGCCAACCCTGGTGTCTGTGGCAACTGTGGAGAGAATGTCTACCAGTGTCACAAATGCAGGTAAGCCAGTTACTTTTCCCCTAGGTTGGTGGAGACATTTCTTATAAATTTTTTTTTTTTGCACGCGCGCATGCGCCCGTGTGTGTGTGTGTGTGTGTGTGTACATTTCTGAGCAATTTTAGTAGTGCTTTTATGAGAATTAGATTAAGGCTATTAAGGATGAAATTAGAGAAGGAAGAGTGTATGTGTGTGTCTCTCTAGGAGAGGGGAAAAGTTTCCTAAGTTCTATTCTCGATCTTCCCTTTCTGTAACCTGATTTTAAAGATTATTCTCAGCAGTTTAGTACCATTCCTTCCAGTATTGTCCTTCTAGTAGTCCCAGAGTATACATGTGGCATGATCCATCTCCTTACAGTGTCACTCCTACCCTCCCAATCCTCTGTCACGCCTCCTGACCAAACACTTTGATTCTTCAGATCCATCAACTATGATGAAAAGGACCCCTTCCTCTGCAATGCTTGTGGCTTCTGTAAATATGCACGCTTCGACTTTATGCTCTATGCCAAGCCTTGCTGTGCTGTGGATCCCATTGAGAATGAAGAAGACCGGAAGAAGGTGAGGCTGGGTCTGGTCTAGACTCAGGGTACTGGATGATATCTGTGCTTTGGACAGAGCTCATATAGTTCAATGTACTCTCTACCATAGAAGTCTTCCTCAAGCCAGCACTAATTTTAGGGTGGTAGCCAATAATGTCATAATGTATGTTAGAACCTTGATTTGCATTGGGTTTTAGAGATGTGTGATTGGTAATGAGACTAGAGATTTTAAGGGACAGATAACTAATGATTTTGAAAGGCTTAAAACAGTGAGATGACTCACCCTATGATTGTTTCATAGACTGCTACATATGGAATCTCCTGTCCGTCCTCAGTATTAAATTGCGCAGGAGCTATTTATTGCCAAATCAGCATAGTATGGGAGACCTAGAGATCAGAGGGCAACTGAAAATGGAAGTAGCTATTGGTAGCAGCATGAGAAAGTAGAAGAACATTTAGCTGTGGATCCAGAAGGATAAAAGTTTCAAATCCCCCTATATTTTTAACACGTATATAATTTGAGATAAATTGCTGCTCTCAGTAGTTGCTATTATGTGTGTATAAATGTATATATTTAAAGATACTGTAGTCACTTCTTAAATTATTATGGAGTATAGAATGTATAAAACGTTGTCTGATCTATAAGAAATGTTTCACACACAAAATCAATTATGGGAGCTTAAGAGGGATTGGAAGAGAGGGAGAGGGGAGTGAAAATTAATAAAAAGAAATGAAAAGTCTCAGTGAATGGTTAGCAGTGAGAATTACTTGGGGAGAATCATCACACTGAATAAAGTTACATTTTGCCCTGTGTTTTGCTATCTAGGCTGTTTCCAATATCAATACTCTCCTGGACAAAGCTGATCGAGTGTATCATCAGCTGATGGGACATCGGCCACAGCTAGAGAACCTGCTCTGCAAAGTGAATGAAGCTGCCCCAGAAAAGCCACAGGTAGTCCCAAACTTGAAGGAATCCTTGGGAAGAACTTTGGGTCGTGATCAGTCTTCTATGTGAGTTCATCTTCTACAGAAGCCTGACAACTAACTGATTGCTTGGATTTACAGGATGATTCAGGAACGACTGGAGGCATCAGCTCCACTTCAGCCAGCGTAAATCGTTACATCCTACAGTTGGCTCAGGAGTACTGTGGGGATTGCAAGAATTCTTTTGATGAACTCTCCAAAATCATCCAGGTATACAAATGAAAGCAGTTTTAATTGGAATGCTGTATGTTTTGTTTTCAAAGTATACTGTTGCCCTTATATAACAACTCAAGGCCTGATGTTGTCCTTGCCCTAATCCAATTGAAAAGGCAGAATTAGTGACTGCACAAAAGAGGGTCTTTCCCTCAGATTTCTAGCGCTTGTCAGAAAGTAGAATTCAGTCTAAAAAACAGAATAACGAGAGTGGGAGTGTCCTTCCCCGATTTGGTGGTTGTATAGTTTCATTACTGACCAGTTTATCTTCTGGTAGAGATGCTACTGGTTTTAAAAAGTTGAGTGCCACAGGTCTGTTTGTTTTTTGTTATGCCATGTTTGCAGATTAGAAGGGTAAAGGCATACCAACTCCATTGAGCTAGGTAGGCAGTGTATGGAGTGTCGCAGAACAATCTCCATAGAATAGGAGGCCAGCTGCAAGTAGTGCCTCAAAAAAAACGAGAGCAGCTGGTTCTGTCTCTGTGAGAGCTTCCTGACCCCCACAATGTGAGTGTTTCACTTTTGTCTTTGTTCTTTAAGAGTCAGAGGTACGTCAGCGTTAAGAACATGACTGGGACTCAGTGAGATCAGGATCTTATTTCTGACTCTACTACTCTTTGTGCCGCTTCAACCCCTTTATTCTTCAGTTCTTTTCTCTGTAAGATGAAGATAATAATGTTTGACTGGTAGGGTTTATTGAGAAGACTAAATTATATAATGCATGTGAAGGTGATTTTTAAAAAAAATTATTATTATTACTACTTTTAATGAAAATTTACAGAGACTTTGGATTTCCATTCATTCATTGTTGCACTTTTCTCCCTGCCTACCCATTCCCCCAGTTCACTCTACTCTTTGAAAAGTAAAGGAAAAATTCTTTCATTGTTATATAATCCCTCCCCCCAGGTCCACTCTACTGTGCAGCCTTCATTTTAGACTCCAGTCATGACAAAATACCTAATCACATATCCCTTTTAAACCATTTTCTCCCTCATCTGTTTCAATGCAGTATACTTTATTCATCCCATCTTTCTCAGCCTCCCCCCCGACCCTGGTGTCAGTCCTGTTTTACAACAGTGGCGCTGTGCAGTATTTGTCCTTTTGTGACTGAGATATTTCGTTCAGCATAATGTCCTCCAGGGTCATCCATTTTGAATAGTATTTCATGAGTTCCTTGTTTTTCAGTGCAGCGTAGTATTCCATTGTGTGAATATACCAGATCATCTCTGTTTGTTGATGGGCACGTAGGTTGTTTCCAATTCTTTGCTATTGTGAACAAAGCCGCAATAAACATGGATGTGCATATATCTGCTTGGGTGGCAGTTATGGTCTCTTTGGGGTATATTCCCAGTAGTGGAATTGCTGGGTCAAATGGTATTTCTGTTTGCAACTTTTTGAGAAAGCTCCATACAGCCTTCCATTATGGTTCCATCATTTTATACTCCCAACAATAGTGAATAAGGGTTCCAGTTTCTCCACAACCTGCTAGCATTTGTTGCTTGCTGTTCTGGTAATTTTGCTATTCTTACTGGGGTGCGAAGATTAAATTATATAATGCATGTGAAGGTTTTGAGATCAAAGCTATTGTCTAGTTAATGTCAGTTTTTTCCTTAATTTTAATTGCTTAATGCCATTCTCTTTATTTTGGTCCCTTTTGTTCTTAGAAAGTCTTTGCTTCACGAAAGGAGTTGTTAGAATATGACCTGCAGCAAAGGGAAGCTGCCACGAAATCATCTCGGACCGCTGTGCAACCCATGTTCACTGCCAGCCAGTACAGAGCCTTATCTGTCCTGGGTTGTGGGCACACCTCCTCTACCAAGTGCTATGGTTGTGCGTCAGCTGTCACAGAGCACTGCATTACACTGCTGCGGGCCCTGGCCACCAACCCAGCCCTGAGGCACATTCTAGTCTCCCAGGGTCTAATCCGAGAGCTCTTCGACTACAACCTTCGCCGAGGGGCCACAACTATGCGGGAGGAGGTCCGCCAACTCATGTGCCTTTTAACTCGGTCAGAACCTACACTGTGATTGTGGGGCGTTTGATTCCTGCTTTACACTGGGATTGGTAGTAGTGATGCTGGCAGTACTAGAGGGAGCAAGGACTGTGTTTCTCATAGCCAAATAGGGTAGCTAACTTTTAATAGGTCAGCTAACTTTTCAGGGGAAGAAAATAGAAAGATACCCAGGAATAGGTGAGTTAACTTGGGGGAGGATTTCAAATACAGGTTTCCTTATACCTAGTGTGTATGGCTGTGCGTTGTGGTTTCCTGAGGAAACTTTGTGTCCTGGTGAGGGAGGAGAAGGAAGTGGCTAGGCACTTAGGCGAAAGGCAGACTCACATGAATGAAGACAATGGAGCTGTGAAGGTCTGTGAATAAGATTCTGGATCAGAAAGTCCCAGGCTCAGTCTCTAATGCTTTGTACTGTGTACCGTCATTGAATTACAGAACTTCTTTGAGACTGAATTTTCCTCATCTGAAAAAGTACTGATGAAAGTAATACCTTCACGTCTTATGGGAAGGACAGATTGAAATGATGTATATCAATAATAGCTCATAAGAACATTTTTCAGTGGCACTTCCAGACTAACTCTAAGAAGCAGGACTGATCCACATTTGGAATAACAGTTCCTATGAATGAATTTGTACCATTGTTGGTTATGATGCCGGAAGATGAGTCTCTCAGGTTGGAAGAGACTGAAAATGTGACTGGGGAAGAGCTGCCTTATCACGGTAGAGTCTATCTTAGTGTCTAAGATGGAATAAGCTTCCACTCAATGAAATCATCATTTGTTGATGTAGCAAGACTCAAAGGAGGAGGAATGGCTTTAAACATCCATTAAAAATTGGAAAGTATGAATCTAGGGAAGGTAGAAGTTGTCAAAATGAAATGGATGCAGAAAGATTGACATTCTAGTCATTAGTGAGCTGCATTGATAATAATTGGTCGCTGGAATACAGAAAGTTGGAAACGAAGCCTTCAATATGGATTACATCTCAACATCAAGTAAACGAAAATTCTCACCACTGAGCAAATAGATAACATCATGATAAGTGGTAGAAAGACTGTAATTGCCAATTATTTTATCTTACTGGGATTCATGAGTATCCATGGAAAGCAGTACTTGAAAAATCAAAAGAAGTGGTGCATTGGGAATATCTGCTGTCAGGGACCTCTCCAAAGTGCTAAGGAGCAACCTGATGCAAGCTATGATCTTTTTAATTCTATGACATGAGTCATAGTTGACTTGACAGCACATAAGAACAACAACAACAACATCATGCACCTCAAAGTTGGACAGTAAATAAGGATGCCAGAAGAAGAATCCATGCCTTTGAGTTGTGTTGGAGCAGAAGACTGAATAATTTGTGGACTTCCAACAGAACAAACAAACATGGCTTGGGTAAAGTGCAACCAGAGTGCTCCTTAGAGGCAAGGATGATGAAACTTTGTCTCACATACTTTGGGCATGTTGTTTGGAGGGGCCAGACCATGCTTGGAAAAGTGGAGGGTCACCCAAAGGGAGGAAAACCTTTAAGAACTATTGATACAGTGACTATATATCAGATGTTGGAGTTGGCACAGGATAGAGCAAATTTCAGATTCATTGTTCCTAGGATCACTGTGATTAGTAGTTGACTCAGCACCTAACAACAACATACATCAGATAACACTGGGGAGAAGGGAGGATCTCTGACTGGTTAGCAATAGAGAATAAAAATCTACTCGCGATGTTGTCAGGGCTCTTCTCTCCGTCATTGTGTGTGCCCTGGAATGGTGGCCTGCTTATTACAGTCATACCTCTAGTTGGTGCTACCACCAGGGCTTTAGAAGACTCTAGCCTGTTCTCTTGCCCCTGGGAATGGGCAAGTCATCAAATGACTGTAGATATTTTCCTGGGCTCTGGGTTTCCAATGGAAAATAGGGATAGAACCATTTGAATAATAACAGACCTCTTCTTTTCTTCTCCAGTGACAATCCAGAAGCCACTCAACAAATGAATGACCTGATTATAGGCAAAGTCTCCACAGCCCTGAAGGGCCATTGGGCCAATCCTGATCTGGTGAGCAGGACCAGCTGTGCTCTCAGCCTCCTCCTTGACTTGCCTGGCCTGCTTTGTCCTGGCCTCTGTTTTCTCCTCTCTAGTCTTATTAGACTAAGGAAGGAAGAACAGCACACTTGTAGAACAAACCTAAATGATTGTGTTAGATCAGTCATCTCTATAGAGGAATGGCTATTCCTATGCAGCGTAGGGATCTTCATCCTCCTCACCCCCTTTCTTTTTCTGATAGTGCTGCCTATGACAAGAAATTTTAATTGTGGGTCCCTGAATCAGAGTTTTGACATAGTCCTTAGTCCTTGGACCACACACCTTCAGGCTTATCTACTCATGTCTTCTGTTGACCTTTTAGGCAAGTAGCCTTCAGTATGAAATGCTGTTGCTGACAGATTCTATCTCGAAGGAGGACAGCTGCTGGGAGCTTCGGTTACGCTGTGGTGAGTTTGGGGAACATTTGGTAGGTACTTTCTATATAAAAGAAACGTATCTTCTGCAACAGAGGACAAGAAGTCGAAAGGAAAGTTCTTTGCTGTAGGATTCTTGGGTTGGCCCTGCATAAAGGATGTGCGGTGTGTTCTGTGATTGTGACTTTGGTTTTCTTACTGTCTCTAGCACTCAGTCTTTTCCTCATGGCTGTGAACATTAAGACGCCTGTAGTTGTTGAGAATATTACTCTCATGTGCCTGCGGATCTTGCAGAAGCTGATTAAACCACCTGCTCCCACCAGCAAGAAGAACAAGGTACTGGGATGCCTGGGGCAAGTCTAAAAGGTGGGGCAGTGGCCACCTGAGCCCCTGGCCAGCAGTGTGCCTGGCCTATTCTAGCTCTTTGTGTTTTCTGTTCTCACTTGATGTGGAGAGAAACCAAACTTCCTTTCTTTTAGTTCAGCAGAGATAGATTGTAATTTTTGAAAAGGTAAGTTTGTCAAACAGGGAGGTTAAGGGTTAAAAAAACAGAAATAAAAAAAGCATTGACAGCCATTTGTAGTGGAATACTGTCTCTTACTCCAGCACACATTGAATGGCTTATGTAGCCCATCTTTCCTACCAGTGTGCTGTGGTAGGATTAAGCAGTGCTGAAGAGCCTATGCTTTGAAGGCAGACATTGAGTTAAATCCCAGCTTTCTCGTTATCTGGCATTTTTAATTTGGGCAAGTTATTTAACTTCCCTCTCAGTTTTCCCATCTGTTAAATGAGAGACTTGTTTAAGGGGAAAATTGTTGTGAAATATAAATTGATGTAGATAAAGTTCTCAGAACAATGTCTTACCTACGTTAGTTCTCAATAAATGTGGTTGTTAGATGCGCTGGAGCCATTTCTGACTTATAGAGGTCATTTGTTTCTATGCTTAGGCCTGTTGTTGGAGGTCTATTGCATTCCATCTCATTGAGGGTCATCCTCTTCTTCACAGACCTTCTACTTTACCAAACATGCTGTCCTTCCCAGGGACTGGCTTCTCTTGATAATGTCTGAAGAATGTGAGACAGAGTCTTACCATCTTCACTTTAAGGAACCTTCTGGCTGCACTTTTTCTAATGCAGATTTATGTGTTCTCTGGGTAGATGAAGATATATTTTATATTCTTCACCAACACCATTAATTCAAGTAATTCTTCTTTGGTTGGTCCTATTCATTTCCAGCTTTCACACACATATGAGGTGGTTAAAAACACATGACTTCGGTCTGGCTCACCTTAGTCTTCAAAGTGACATCTGTGTACTCTTAACGTCTTAAAACAGGTCTTTTGTAGCAGATTGTTAACTGAATAAATAAAGTCTAATTTTTTATCCTTAAAAAAAAATTACAGCCTAGCCTCAAATTGGCTTGCTTATATTAACAAACTATATAGACATAAATCTTTCTTACCACCATGCCTAAAGGATATCTGCTTCTAAACTTCCCTCTGCAGACTTTGGACTGTTCCAGTTCCTACTCCATCCTACTGGACCATCTCTTGGTGGAGAGTAAGGTGTTAATTACAGAAACATTGATTTTTGAGTGCTAAGAACATTGAGTTATGATTAGGGAGGGAGGAGGTTGAATATTGAACAGCATAAAATATTTCCTTGTCCTACTCCACCCAAATAAACCTCAGAAAAGACAGAACAGTAGTGCTTTCCTTTGGTTTGATGAAGAAGTTCTTGATTGAGAAGAAGGACGTTAACACAACCCAACCCATTTTCCGTAGTGTAAGGCAAGGGGGAAAAAAGGATTGCCTAGAGAATTGTTAACTCTCTAAATGTGGAAAGACAGTATTAATGCTCATATTACACTTAGTTCTGGCCAAGAAAAGTAGTTCTCAAAATTTCGTTCACAGATTCCTAGGTGTTCTTAAGACTTCCAGGCATCTGTGAGATCCAAATTATCTTTTTAATTATATTATCACACTTGTTGCCCTTTACTGTGTTGAAAAGATGATGGAACAAAATCAGGAATGTGCAAAATTGTTCGTATCTTAGATTATGAATTTTATTAAATCTCAAACTGTTGTGTTTTTTCATAATGAGTGTGATAAAAGGAGAGCACACAGAAAGTTCTGGAAAAACAGTGATTGTCCTGAGGGGCGAGCACTGTGTGATTTGCTTGAGGTTCATGTTGCTTTTTTCATAGAGTGTTGTTTGTACTTGAAAGAACAACTGGCAGACAAATTGGCTCTCCAGGCTTGTATGAAAGTCAGTGAAGTTATCTTGTCATTTCAAGACCAACAAATATAATTCAGTGAACCCATATTTTTAAAGCTATAAAGTTAAGCAATAACAGAAGATAATAAATTTGTTGATGTGGTTTCAGATTCTAGTTCTAGCTCATAGGTCACTTGTTGATTTGTGGTACAGTATCAAGGAAAGAGTCACAATTACTGAAAAGTTATCAAAATATTATTCCCTTGCCAACTACATCTGTTTAGGGCTTTTCTTTTTTTTCTTTTTTCTCTTGTGCACTGTCTAATTGGATCCGGCGGGCACAAAGGGAGATTGTCTCCCCTTCTCCAGTGGAGTATCTGGTGGATTCGAACCATGCGCCTTTAGGACTGCAGCGTAGATTCTTGCCACTAGGCCATCAGAGCTCACTCAGCTTTTCTTATTTAATAACATAATAATTTGAATATGAGAGCAGCTGTGGTAATTCAGCTGTTTTATTTAGCTAGTCAATAAAAGATTTTTGGAAGTGTAAAACACTGTTACTTTTTTCTCTAGGGTAATTTTTGTTCGGGCAAACATATAAAAAAAGTATTAAGCTCAATAATTTATTCTTATTTAAAAGATTGAATATTTATTCTCAATTTTAATCTTTAATATGGTAAATATCATTTGCTATAACCACAAAAAATGAAGCTCTGGTGACCTCATTTATAAGGATTTATGCTGCTAACCTAAAGTTAGATGGTTCGAATTCACCAGCAGCTTCTTGAGAGAATGGTGGATAGTTGCCAGTGCAAAGTTTACAGCCTCTTAAGACCTGTTTGAGATTAAATTCCATATGTATACTGATGAGTTTGGGTTATTTTATAACTGTAAGGACAAAAGTATTTTGACATTCACAGTGTAACTTTTTAAAGAGTATATAAAGGGATTAAGAGACAGAAATGTTTGAGAACTGTTGATTTAAGAGTTCCTCTTTCTTGCTCTCTGGGGCTGTTTGCTACACAGGCTAGTTCTGGGTAGTACTGCCTCTTTAAATTCTGCCAACTGCTCAGTGACTCCTATGCTCTAGGAAACTACAAATCAGACCTAGATCGGAATTAGCATACACGGTATAGCATTGCCTGTAGGAAGCCAGCTAAAACTTGTCCTGCACAGTAAAAATCAATGTCTTTAAGCTCACCATGGAGATGCTACTACTAAATGGGATCAGAATGGTTTAACAGAAACACATATTTGGGTATAAAAGGTGCCTTGCATATCTCCCCTTGGGAGAATTGTACCATTTATATGGGAGCTAAGACTCAGGTATGCTCTCAGACTCACTGTTATCTTGGTCTGTTATCCTCATCCAGGATGTTCCTATGGAGGCCCTCACCACAGTGAAACCTTACTGCAATGAGATTCATGCCCAGGCCCAGCTGTGGCTCAAGAGAGATCCAAAAGCATCCTATGAAGCTTGGAAGAAGTGTCTCCCTATCCGAGGTGTGCTTATCTGTTCAGGACTTGGGAAGCCAATCACTCCACCTCTGTCCTGTCAACCCTTCAAGTCCCCTTTTTTTGTCACTTTTTTAAACTTACCTCTCTACTCCTTTGCCTTTCAGGAATAGATGGCAATGGCAAATCTCCCAGCAAATCAGAGCTCCGCCATCTCTATTTGACTGAGAAGTATGTGTGGAGGTGGAAACAGTTCCTGAGTCGTCGGGGAAAGAGGACCTCCCCCTTGGATCTCAAACTAGGGCACAACAACTGGCTACGGCAAGTGAGTGACCATCTCCTGGGCATTTCACCCTGCCCCCAGATATTGAGGGATGTGCTTCTGGTGTTTCTCATGTCAGTTTCCTATTTTCTTGCTTCCTTTCAAATAAGAATAGTTAGAAGTTCTTAATTGCAGCTACCATTGAGGTGAGCTAACTAGAGCAGAGCTTTTCTCTGCCCTTCTCATCACTTAATGGAACTAAACCTCAGTGCTTAATGCTCTCTTCCTTCTTTTCCTTTTCTTTCTAGCTAATATTTTAAATTAAAGGAAGTGTATTTTTAGAGAATCCATTTGTCTCTTGATATATACGATAAAAAAAGATAGTTTGGTTGACAGAAAAGGGAACTGAGCTTTGTTGGTGCAGTGATTAAAACACATGACTGTTAACTGAAAGCACACTATGGTTTGAGTCCACTGGCTACACTGTGGGACAAAGGTGTAATGATTTACTTACCTGGCCTCGCAAGGGAGATACTATAGTCATGAAGGTGGTTTTCCCAGGGTGAGGCTCATCCATTGCACACTGGATATGCTGACCCCTGCAATGTCCCCAAATATGGGAAACTTGATTGCATAATTTGTAATGGTAGGGACGGTATTCGCATGTTTTCTCCTGTGTTGGGGGAGGGGAGATGCACAGCTTTGGAAATCCTTTGGGACAGATCAACTTTGTTTTATGGAATTATCATTACTCTATAGACTCAACTTGAGGGCAGTAGGACTTGGGTTACTAAAAACATGGACTTTTTAAAAAAAAAATTAGATTATCTTAGGTGTATTCTTCACATTACTTGATGGAGATAATAATCTCTATGAAGAAGAAAGGCTCCTTAGCAGCTTTTCCCCCCATTTTGAAACAGACACATGTTAAACCAAATCCCTTGCCATCGAGTTGATTTCGACCTGCAGGACAGAATAGACCTGTCCTGTAGGATTCTCAGGTTTGCAAAACTTTTTTTATTTTTTTATTTTTGTTTTATTAATTTTTATGCATGTATCGTCAAATCAGGTCTGACTGGTACAGGAGGAGATTGTCCCTCCTTCTCCAGCGAAGTATGTGGTGGATTCAAACCACACATCTCTGGGATTGCAGTGCAGCTTCTTGCCACTAGGCCACCAGAGCTCCCTAGGGTTGCAAATCTTTATACAAGTAGACTGCCATGGCTTTCTCCTGCGGAGCATCTCGTAGATCGGCAACAGAGTACTTAATCACTGCACTACTAGGGCCCTTTATATTTTGTGTATGTTAGTGATTTCTACCTTTAACCATTTCTGAGAGAGCTTTCCAGAGAGCTTCTGCCTGAGTGACAATTGTCAGCTCTGCAGGTGCCTTGTGAGGCCATTTGTCACCTGAGCAGGGCCCTCTCTTCTCTTCTGTATTCTATAGGTACTGTTTACTCCAGCAACACAGGCAGCACGCCAGGCAGCCTGTACCATTGTGGAAGCTCTGGCCACCATTCCCAGCCGCAAGCAGCAGGTCCTTGACCTCCTCACCAGGTGGGTTGGGAAGGCAGTCAGAATTTATCTAGCGCCTTTCTCTTATTCCAGAGAATCAGAAAATACTTAAGAGATGAGGGTGATGGGAAGCATATGTGTTGGACTTTAACTTAGGACTTGCATCATCATTCATTCCATGTTAGAAAGCCATAGATATAAAAACATCTTTTAAAGAAAACTGAATTTGGCAAGAAGGAAAATGTATATAAATCCCTGAAAGGAAAAAAAAAAGCCAGCCAAGAATTCTGTACCTAGCAAAACTATCACTTGTACATGATGGTGAAATTAGGACATTTCCAGATAAAAAGAATCTCAGGGAATTTGTGAAAACTAGACCAACCTTACAGAAATCCTGATGGGAGTTATTTGGACTGAGAGCCAACAACAACCCAAAATTAACATACATGACAATGTCATTCAGAAATTGATCCAGACAGAGAAATACACAAAATCTAACAGACATAAAAGACTAAAAATAGGAAATGAGATATCAGTTTATAAATGATGCTAACTACAAAGCAATAAAGAGGGAATAAGAAGTACAGTTACAGAACTTGTAAGTGGAGAGGAAGTTAAGGAAATATCAAGATAAAATAAGTCAATCACAAAAGGACTATAAAGGTATAACACCACTAATATAAAAAACTAAGAAAAGGTTTATGTACAGATAGAATTAATTTTGCATGGAATGAGAAGGAACTAGAAGTTAATAAATAGTTAAATTGAGTGAAGGGAAAGGCAATATATAATATTGATTAGTCAGTATAATGAACGAATCTAAATGATGTTATAAGAAGGGTCTGAGTCATTGAATAGAATTATAATATAAAATGTGTATGAATGATTAAATGTGAAAAACCAATATGAATTGTAAACTTACCTTCAAAAAAAACTATAGTGGTAATAGAAATAACAGCAGCAAATAAAACTAAAAACAAAAACACCAAAACCCAAAAAAAACCCCAACATCATTTTAGTGGTAATAGTAGCAACAGTGACAGTAGCACCAACAGCTAACATTTATTGAGATTGTTTGAGAACCTAGATCATTGGCATGTTGTCTCATTTAATCTTTATAGCACCTGGGCTAAAAAAAAAGATTAATCAGCTGGTTCGTGATAGTACAGACATTTGAGTCTAGGCAGTCTGATTCCAAAGTCCATATTATTAGCTACTAGAAGTGGCAGTAAACTTGCCTTCAAAAAAGCACTGTCACTGCCAAGGTAACTCATGTATTCATGCGTATTGCTCTTAATGGCCATAGTTTATGGCATTTCTTTCCTCTGTGTTCTGAATTCTTCTCAAATGTAAGAAGCTCCCAGGTATAAGTTTTGAGTTTTCTTAGAGACCCTTGCTCCATCATCTCAGCTCGAAGTTTTCTAACAGTGCTCTGCCTCTCTGAATGGCAGTTACCTAGATGAATTGAGTATTGCCGGAGAGTGTGCAGCTGAGTACTTGGCTCTCTATCAGAAACTCATCACTTCAGCCCATTGGAAAGTCTACCTGGCAGCTCGGGGAGTCCTGCCCTATGTGGGCAACCTCATCACTAAGGTAATTTCATCTTCAGCCTATGACTTCCCTTTAAGTCTGCTTCCCTTTAATTCTTTCTTTTCACTCTTTTCCTTATGTAAACATTGCAGTGGGTTTTATTTTTTTTTTCCTCCTGGAAAGAAATGTTTGTTGAAAATATTCTCTTTAGAACTTTATTGTAGTTATTCTATGGATGTGGCAATCTATTGGAGATATTTAGCCTGTTAGCAATTTTTCAACAAACCTATAGTATTACTGCAGCTGTCATTGGCTTTTTGTAAAGGAGTTCTACAGGATTTGGATTGAGGGGCCCATTAGAATAAAAAGATGATGATACCAAGTGTCTGTTGTGGCCGGTGTCTTGTTAGAATGATGGTGGAGGTGACAGATATCATTGACAGTACTCTTACAATGACTGTTTATTATCCTGTGTAGGAAATAGCCCGTTTGCTGGCCCTAGAGGAAGCCACACTAAGCACCGATCTGCAGCAAGGATATGCCCTCAAGAGCCTTACAGGTAGGATATCCTGGCTGGATTTTAAGGACAGAGAGTTGGTTTCTTGGGTAATGGGCTGATACTGTTCCCTCTTGTATTGATCAAGTGTAAACTTACACTTTTCATTTTTCTCTCGTTAATGGGTTTATGTATTTGGTCCTGGTCACTCTTTACCTGCTCAGTTCATTGAGAACAACCTGTACCACACACAAAGAGACTTTTCTTGCATATGTTACCATCCACCAAAGTTTTTATTGCAACTTTTTCTTGCCCCTACAGGCCTTCTCTCCTCCTTTGTTGAGGTGGAATCCATCAAAAGACACTTTAAAAGTCGCCTGGTGGGTACTGTGCTGAATGGATACCTGTGTTTGAGAAAACTGGTGGTTCAGAGGACCAAGCTGATCGATGAGACACAGGATATGTTGCTAGAGATGCTGGAGGACATGACCACAGGTAGCACTCGCACAGGACCTGGAGCCCAAGGTTTCAGTTTCCTTTCTGGGTCTAGTTAAGTACATCAGTTAATTTCTTCAAGTCCTTCAGAGCCAAGAGTAGGAGTGATAAACATCTCCCCATACCAAAGTAGAAAAAGCCATCTCACAAGAGAGTAACTGTTCTTGGAGTTATAAAAGTTCAGGGTGGAACTGAGTCAGTTTGAACTTTTTACATTGCTGTTAAAGAACAGGATAAGGTCTGGGATTCTTAGGTTGTTATCTTTCATTGGTTCTAGAACATTCTCAGCTGTTCTCTCTTCTAATGCCATTGTTTCCATATCTCTTTCCTTGTGGACTTTATTATATTTTCAATCCTACATTTTAGATAATTTCTTCAGTTCTGTCATCCTTTTTATTAATTTCTTTTTTCACCTATGTGTATGTAATCTTAAGAGCTGTCATCGTGCAGTGGTTAAGGGCTCAGCAGCTGACTGAAAGGTCAGCGGTTTGAATTTACCACCCACTCTGGGAGAAAGATTTGCTTCTATAAAGATTGCAGCCTTGGAAGCTATGAGGCAATTCTAGTGTGTCCTGTAGGGTTGCTGTGATTTATAATCATCATGACAGCAACAGATTTGATTGTGGGTTGATGTGTAATCTAGTCATTGGGTTCTTGTAGTTCTTCACATAGATTTTGTAGTCTTTTTGTTTCCTATAATTTTAGTTATCTCTAAAGTTAATCTGTCTGATAATTCTAAAATATGAAATATAGGTTTAATTCTGTTGTTATTCAGATTCTTATTTATGGTATCATACAGATAAAATTTGTGTGTGTGTATATTATGAAGACTCAGAGAGGACTATTATGTGTTTGGCGTGCAGGTTTGCTCTGTCCCTGGAGTGAGGCTAGCCAGCCTGGGCCTCGGGTTTGAACCAGGAGGCGGCATTAAGCCGAAGGAAGCCGGGAAGGAAGCGGCCATGTTGTTCCTGGTTTAGCTGGCGCCTTCACAGTCTCGTGGGAAGCTCTCCTTGCCAGAAGGCAGGAGCGTGGTGGTGGGGAGTGCAGGAATCGTGGCAAGCTTTGGAGTGGACTGCTTTTCCGGGAATGTGTTTGACGTGCAGGACTGCTGCAGAGAGGACTATTATTTCTCTACTTAATGCCAAATTTTAAGAGAAAGCAATTTCTTTGTAGTTGAGGGGGAGGGAGAGTTATTTCTAGTTATACTAAGGGTATAACTCTTTTCAGTATCTGGTCTGTGTCCTGTCATGATGTCATGTATATGGGAAGAGTTTCCTATTAGAAACCTCATCTCAGTAGGCTTTAGGGCTTTGTTGCTGTTCTTAGATCTTGGATGGTTATGGGAACCAAAACTCAAGAGTAGAAATTGGCTTTTGCATTTCATTTATCTCTGGATTTCTGGTTTGGTTTTTCAGGTTTTGGCCTTTGTTTCTTTGCTGGTGTGCGAGTTCACTGATTCATTTTTATCTCCAGCATTTTTAGTTGTTTTCAGTAGGACAAATTGGGAAGTAGGTCAGGGAATAATGTCTACTGTATTTCTAGAAAACAGTCTGATACCCTTTCTATCATGCCATGCTGAGCTGGTTTGTGAGTATGTCAGACCTTTTAAAAGTCCTTATCTATTGTCAAATAGCTTGAAGCTATTTGGCTTATGGAGACCATTTGTTTCTTTTTTAGATTGAAGTTTAAAAGTATAAATTCCCATCATTTTGCTAGACCTATAAAGATGATTATAATTTGACATTTTTGAGTGCTGCTTTAAGCAAGGAGATGTTAAGCTGAATAAGTCATAGTCCCTCTCCTAGTTGAGGTTATAGTCCATAGTGAGCAAGACATGTATACATCTAAATGGGATGCAGTTTGAAGACTTAATGGGTCATGAATTTCAAATTGAGTGTGGTCTGAGTATAAAATCAATTGAAATATTGATGAGGTCGTACAGGGGCTTACCAGATGAACTCTCACTGGTACTGTTTCAAATCTCACCTGTTTTTTTTTCCTCAATGACTTGGCCATTTCGACTTTTGGCAGGTACAGAATCGGAAACCAAGGCCTTCATGGCTGTGTGCATTGAGACAGCCAAGCGCTACAATCTGGATGACTACCGAACGCCTGTGTTCATCTTTGAGAGGCTTTGCAGCATTATTTATCCGGTAAGAGTGTGGTGTTTCTCATAGCTTTTGAGGTGTTCATATAAGCCATTTTGCCATGAAGCATTTTAGTGATTCATTATACCCATGAAAATCTCACCCACTTTGAGCCAGCTAGTCAGCATTTTAAAAAGATTCATTGACATAAAACAGAAGCCATTTTATAATTTTATTATTCTTGATCATGAAAATTCCAATGACATTTCTTAGCCCTACTTCTAGATTCATGGTCAAGTTCAAACTTTTTTTTTTAGGATCTCATTACCACAATACGAGCTTTTCAATCGAGCACACTCTGAAGCAGTATTAAGTTAGAGCATTAAAAAACGTTGTCACTCTCTTGCTTCATTGCTCCGTTAGTCTGAACTGTATAGAAGCATGGTATGATCCAAAGATCCCTTCCTGTTAGTAAAGATGAGAAACACCAGTATCTTCAGTTAATGAGAATCGATCATAAGTACTATAAGGACAACCCTCTTGAGCTCAGGGTCATCAATGAGTCTTCTGGCTCCAGATTGGTTAGCATTGCATAAGACAAGCAAGAAGAGTAAATTCTCCCTCTTTGAGTAATATAACTTTCTTGTGTGTTACCCCTCTTTGCGTTTTAATGGTTGTTGTTGTTGTTATGTGCCGTCGAGTCGTTTCAGACTCATAGCGACCCTATGCACAACAGCCCTAAACCCTGCTCTATCCATATCTTAAGCTCAAGGAACTGAAGAACAAATTCAAACCTCGAGTTGCTATAATCAAGGATGCTTTCGGCAGAACGTTAAATGATCCCGGAAGTATT